TCGGGGTAGTCCATGTGATCCCATCATCGAATCCATCTCTTCATCTCGCAAACGAGCAGCGGATTATCCGAAACGCTCAGCCGAGGGCATCTCGCAAAAAGGGCCACAATCCGGGGCAAACAGGTCGAATTAATGTTGGTCACTAGCGCGGAGCTGACTGAGGCGACACTCCCCGACGCGGACGCCTCACCGCATCACCAAACGATTCCTTTACGTGTACGGAGTAATGCAAGCCACGCAAGAAAAACTCCGGCCACAAAGTGTGGTACAGTTGCCAAACCAAGGCGACGCTTAAACGTTGAGCCAAAGGCTTGCACCTGTACCAAGGACCCTTGATCCTGGTTTCTGTCACGTCCTTTGCATCCACCATGCTTGATTCTGGCTGTATGAGGCGAAAAGCCATGTGGCCGTTGACGCACCGCGACTCTGTGGCATGTGCTCATGTCGTATTGTCTCACCGACTTTAGAGAGAGAAATGGGGGCAAAAGGAGAAAAGAAGAGAGAAACCACGCCAAAGGCCCGGTTCAGACAAGTAGAAATGTCTGGCATTAAAATGAAAAATATGGAAGAAAAGATATAGGAAAGTGTTAAAACATGTGAGAGAAAGAAGAAGAAACCTCAGGAGGTACCGCTTTTGGGTCATTCATGACGAGTAAGGGCAAGCTCTCGCTCCAACGTTGATCTCCAGTGTATCAGGTCTCGATCCTCATCCTCCCAATAAGCCAACATGCCGACAGTCTTGTAAACAGAATCCTCCCAGTCAGTGGGCATCGCGCAACCGGCTTTGGCAGCCGCCAATAGAACCAAAGCACTCCGTGTACAGGCTCGTATCATGAACATGCTTCCATGGTGTCGGTGGTGAAAGCCGGGTTTGTTTACATGCACCTGGTGCATGTGCGTCTCCAGGCCTCTTTTGGCAAACTCCGCCACGGCAGGCTTGACTGGACGCCTCGCGGTGTGAGCGCTGATGCTGGCCATGACAAAGGGCCAGTATATCTGCTCAAACAAGTTAATCATCCGCCCTCGGAGAACCGACCGGCATATGCCGTCCTCCTCCACGGGAGTGTGAATGGAGAGGTCCGCGGGGAGGCTGTCCGACCATTCGCGGATCTGAGCCTCGTACTCGGGCATCATGTCCAAAAGCATGTCTAGCAACATGGAATCAGAGGTATAGCGCTGACGAAGGTCCAGCGCCTCTCTGGAGAGACGGCTGGTGAGGCGACGGAGCGAGATCTCGGCCAGGTAGAAGAGCCAGGCGGCGCGGGCACGCTGGGTCTCGGTGTCGGGCCCATCCGGAGATTCGGCCGGGGCAACCGGTGGCGCGGGGAAGAAGGGCGGATACAAGGTGCTGCCAGAGTGGAGGATATCGAAATCAGGAAGGTCTAGCTCCTGTCGTAGCTCTCGTTCCGACTTCCACGCCGACCAATAGACGGCTTGCTCTTGGGTGTCTTGGCGACCCATCTCCATGGCATCCAGAGAGGTGTTGAGGTTCTGGGCTCGGGCCAAGAAGGGGAAATGTTGACAGGCAGCCAGAGCCTGAGAGAAGAAACGCCAAGCGTAGACGGGCTGGAAGACCATCATCAGGTAGATGCCCGACAGGAACAGACATTGCGCCCCCACAATGTCGGAGCGCACGAGCAAGATGCCGATGCGCTTCTGGGCTGCCTGGAAGAAGATTTGAGAGTCGTTGTAAGTCTGGGTGCCCAGTTTGGTCTCCCCGCTGGGGCCAAAGGGCGTGGCAATGCAGCCCAGGGCGCATATTATGAGGGCAAGGCACGAGGCGGGAGACCAGTCGATGCCGTCCAGAAAGGCGTTGAGGACCATGCGGCGGGCCAAGACCTCGTCGAGGATGGGGTTCTTGCAGTGGATATGGAGGAAAAAGTTGTCCAGCAGCCTATATATGCGGTGGGAGTCCATGTCGATGAGGCCGGCCAGCGAGGCCGACCCGGAGGGAGGGGTTGCGATGGCATCGGGAGGGGCGCGAAACGAGGCTGGCGAATGGTGGTGGGTACCGGAATTCTGGAAAGCCGGCCACTGCAGGATGTGGTCCACACGCTGAGGCAGCAGGCTGGTGAGATCCAGCTCGTCGTCTGGATTCCTGAGCCCCGAGAGGCTGCTCACGCTGGAACTCTGGCCGTGGATGCCGCCGCCGCCGCCGTCAAACGCCCTGGATCGCGAGAGTGGGGGCAGCCGGTGCTGGCTGGAGAGGCCCGAGCCTGGAGCCGGAGCGAGAGCCGACAGTGGCGCCGCAGCGTCGGCAACGCCTGGCAAGGGGACGGCATGCCGCAGTAGACGCTCCAGCTCGTCGATACGATCGAGGATCTTCAGGCTGGCGGGGTCGAAGCTTGACAGATCCACCGGGGACTGGATGCACGTGGCGCCGACGCTGACACAGTAGCTACAGGCGGGCTTCTTGTTGTCGCACTTGGTCTTGCGGGCTCTGCAGACCTGGCAGGCCGTGTTGGCTCGCTTCCGGGGATAGAAGGCCGTGCCGCGGGCTGCCGGACGCTTCCCCGGGCGGCGGTTGATGCCGGCCGCGTCTGCCGGCGACTGTGGACCGTTGGCGTTGACGTCGTCGGCATCCAGGTCGTCGACATCCGGGGCGAGGGCCATGGACAGAGGTGAGGCAGCTTGGCCGGGACGCGCCATGGCGTTGGCGGCATGAGTACCAGCCGCGCCGTTGCCATTGATAGAGAAGCCACCTATGCCCGAGCCCGTGCCAGCGCCAGCGCCTGTCCCCAGGCCTGTCCCCGAGCCCGAGCCCGCTCCCGAGGAAGCAGAGCCAGGCCCAGAGGCGCCCGTGTACGAGAGGGCCGTTGCGAGAAACGGCAGCGGCTCCTGTCGCTGGGCGGGCGGTGGCCCTGGCGCTGGCGCTGGAGCTGGGTGAGACGGCGGCATTGCGGGTGGCGGCATGCACAGCACAGGGCCGCGGAGGGCCACTTCAGGCCGGGTTCGACTAAGACGAGACGAGACGCGAGGCAGACGAAGAGTCGCGATGATGCGGATGAGGGGAGAAGTTGGATCGGGGAGTCTCGGTGGTGAGTTGAACGTGATGCTAGCAAGGCGCGATCGATGCTACCGGCTGTCAGGTGGCTCCTTGTCCTTTATGATTCAGGTTGGGCCACGGCAGGTTGGTTTAGCCGCCCACAAAGGTCTGGGGGAGCCCTAAAGCTCGTTAGCGGCTCGACAGGGCATTGCAGGGCATTGCAGGGCCGCTGCAGGGCTCGATGGAGCCGAAAGGGAGGGGAGGGGGGGACTCTGGGGCAACTCTGGGGCGCTTTTGGGGGGTCGCAGAGGCTCTGGGGTGCTCTGGGGTGCTCTGGGGCGCTCTGGGGGCAGGCCGTAGGGGGTGCCAAGGGCCGCTATTCCTGGGCCGATCGATATTCAACCGAAAGGCGCACCGCGTTGGACTCGATTTCGGAGTAGCGCCGGGCCAACCAGAGAGGCGTCGGCCGCTTGCTGTGGGATTTTAAGAAATAGGCGGCATATCGTTCGTGGTTGTGGTGAGTAATAGTTACTCGTATGTATCAAAAGGTGGTTAGTGAAGAAATGGAGTGCAAGATGGATGCACTGGATAGGCTACTTTTGATCTCGGCAGGGGGCAGGATTTTTTTTCTTCTTGGTTCTTTTCCCCTGCCCTGTCTGGCGGTTTGTTTCCCCGCTCCCGTCAGGGTACATGACATGAGTAATGGTACCTAGTACACTTGATCCATCCACTGCTTGCGTGTTTCCAGTTTCAGTTCCGATTCGCCGTCGGTTTTTGATCTTGCCAACCTTTTTGTCCCTCTTAATTCTATTTCGATACCTTGTTCCTTGCCATCCTCCATCTGCTATTAGTACTTGTTCGTACTACCTGGCAATCTATGTTATTGCAGTACCACCGTGTCATCCCGCCTCTCTCCAGACTCGGATGCTACCGCCTCCCGTTGTGGTGCATGTGCCAAAACTCCCGACGGGCGCACAGGCCCGGCTTCGGCAGATTTCATCTCGACTGTGCAACGGTGAATGTGACGGTCATTCATTCATCCAGACTGTAGTCGTATTGTACGTGTACAGTACGGCATCAATATTTACAAGAATGCGCCGTATCAAACCAACTGCCAAAATACCTATTCCGCCGTTCGCCTCTTCCTCCAGCCTCCAGCCTCCATCATCCATCCTCGTCCATCTGCCCATTTCGTGCAGCCCATCGAGCCACATCAAAAACTCCTTCGTACCCCCGCATCGCCAGCATACGAGGATCAATTGTTATTAGGCCTAGCCATCTGCTAGTCTTGGGCTTAGCTCCAGCCCTCGCCCTTTTACCCCACGGGAGAGGCAGCGTGACAAACCAGCCATCAAGGGGAAGCAGCCAATGGCGTCTTATAAGCAGCGCCATCACGACGCCGGCCGTCTTACAATCAAATAGGTTTGGCTTCTGCTGCTGCTGCTTATCGCACAACTGCCGGGGAGCGTCGCCCCTCCATCCAACCGGTGCTTGTTCGTGTGTGTGTTCAATATTGGGTATGCTAGGCTGGTGAGAACCTCGTCCGCTTCTGGCCTCTCTCTCTCTCTCTCTTCCCCATCTTTTGCCTCCCCTGCATCCACCCCGTACCCCGGACTTCTCCAGCCTGCAAACCCTATTCGACGCAGTCTTTTTTGTCTTCATGCCGGCCAACCACGTCCGTCCTAGGGCCCTCCTCGTGCTTCTTCTTCCTTTAGCCGCTACCAATCACAGAATCGGTCCGAACTCTCCACAGGGACTTGCTGCAGTGCAAAACAGGATGCATCAACACCATCGATTGAGACTCTGAACCCATGCCGAACCATGACCGCAATCGCCTCACACCACAGTCTTTGCCAAGTATATGAACCTCCGGGCCGCCTGTGTCCCAATTGCCCCTCTCGCTCTCGCCAGGCTGTCAGCCACCCCATAGTACCTGTCTCTGCTGCTCCCAAGATTTCCAGAGTTTGGTGGTGAACAGCCCGACAGACAGACAAGAAGACGCCATATCGCCATCATGGGCTCTTCCGAGGACGAAAAACACTCTGGCGCCGCGCTGGAGGCGCACATTTCCGGTGTCGACGACCTCAACCCCAAGGACGATACCGTGCGAGTCGACATCCAGAGGGAGCATGAGCTGACCGTCAAGGAGGTTTTTGTCAACCACCCCGCCCTGGTCTTTTGGGCCTTTTACTGGGCCATGTCCGGAGTTGGCTGGTGAGTCTGAGAATCCGAGTGGCACAGCCCGTGATTCAAAACTTGATTCAACTAACACATGTCTTCAGGGGTTTCGATGCTCAGGTCAACGGAGGCATGCTCTCCGTCATGCCCTTCCGCCGCGACTTTGGCTACTGGTACAATGACAAGGACGGCTATGTGATCCCCGCCGACTGGCTGAGCGCCTTCAACACCATCAGCGGCGTTGGCCAGTTCTTTGGCGGCTTCGCCTGCTCATGGGTCGCCGATCGCTGGGGTCGCAAGACCGCGCTGCTGGCCGGCATCGCCGTCGTCACCGGAGGCATCTTTGGCGAGATGTTCTCTACCATCAGGCCCGCCTTCCTCATTTCCAAGCTCATCCTCGGCTTCGGCCTGGGCTTCTACCTGACGCTGTCGCCGCTTGCCGCCTCCGAGTGCGCCCCCGTTGCCTTCCGTGGCATCGCCACTGCTGGCGTGCAGTTCGGCATCGGCTCCGGCCAGCTGCTGTCCAACGCCGCCATCAAGGGCTTTGGCGAGCGCACCGACAAGTGGGCCTACCGTGCTCCGTTTGCCATCCAGCTCTTCTTCTGCCTCTTCCTCTTCGTCTTGCTCCCCTTCGCCCCCGAGACGCCGTGGTATCTTGCCCGCGCCGGCAAGCGTGATCAGGCCCTCAAGTCTCTGCAGACCCTCTACGGGTCCGACGTCGACGTCAACGCAAAGCTCGCCACCCTCGAGGCCACCATTGCCGAGGAGGAAGCCTCCAACTCGGAGCAGGGCTCCTTCATCCAGTGCTTCAAGGGCACCAACCTCGTCCGAACCTGCATCAGCATGGGCGTCTTTGTGTGCCAGCACTTCACCGGCATCATCTTCGTCATGGGCTTTTCCACCTACTTCTTCCAGCTGGCCGGCCTCCCCCAGTCAAAGGCCTTCAACCTCGGCATTGGCGTCAGCGCTTGCGGGCTGGGCGGCAACATCGTCAGCTGGATCGTCATGAACCGCCTCGGCCGCCGCAGCCTCTTCGTCGGCTGCATGTGCATCCTGACCCTCATCCTCTTCCTCATCGGCATCATGGACGTCGTGCCCACCGGCGCCGCCAAGTGGGTGCAGGCCTCCCTCACCGTCGTCTACGCCTTCTTCTACTACATCGGCCTCGGCGCCATGGCCTTTGCCATCCTGGGAGAGGCCAGCAGCACCTCCCTCCGAGCCCCCACCATTGCCCTCGCCACGGCCACCCAGGCCATCATGGGCATCATCTTCAACTTTGCCATCCCCTACATGGTCAACCCCGACGAGGCCAACCTCGAGGGCAAAGTCGGCTTCATCTTTGGCGGCCTGGCCCTCATCGCCACCGCCTGGAGCTGGTTCTACGTTCCCGAGCTCAAGGGCCGCACCTTTGACGAGATTGACCGCATGTTCCAGGCAAAGGTCCCGCCCAGGAAGATGGGCAGCTACAAGCTGTCTTCTTACTGATAAGTTGTGCGTGTTTTTTTTTTTAGGGTGCTTGCTTTATTTTCGATGAAGATGTTGGTTGGGATTTGGGCTTTGCTGTTTTTTTGAATGCTACTTTTATGGCCATGATTCATGACATGTTGGGTTTCCCGATAGTTTACTATACCCTGCGTAACAATACAAAACATTATTGTTTTTGACAATCCTCATTACTTGGACCATTGTGAAGAGATTTTATGACACCGGTTCTGATAAAGCCAAAGTGCGGTAAGTAACCAAGGATACCAATTTTGTTTCCTATATCTTTTGGTTTCTATATACCATTGTTTCCAAGCAATTCATCCAACGCCAATTAGCAGTTACTTGAATATATATATGCCCGCAACGCACGCTTTTTGTAAATAAACGAGGCAATCCAAAGAATGTCAAAAGAGGCAGCGCAACAAGATTAATACATCAAGGATATTTCGTCTGAACATTCACTTGCACAGTTTCAGAACTGCCGCCCAGGTCCTCAGACGGCGATCCGCTCAGCGATCTCTCTTCTACATCGCGCTGCGGGCCCAGCTTCGCCTTCCACCCCGTGTACCACGGCCCGGAGAACAGCTCCTCCATTCTCTCCATCGGGACGCCCTTTGTTTCAGGCGCCCAGAGGCCGAGGACCACGAGGCCGATGAAGCAGATGCACGCCCAGAACACGTACGCGCCCCAGATGTTGAGGCCGTCGAACATGGCCGGCGTGGAGCGCACGACTGCAAACTGGAAGAACCAGTGTATCGTCATGTTGGATGCGTAGCAGACGCTTCTTATCCGCGTGGGCAAGATCTCCGTGCCGTACAAGTACTGAATAGTACACAGTCCGATAGACCAGCCGACAGCATAGATGTACACGGATGCAACGGCGGCATCGGACGCGGATTTGTTTTGGGAGTCGATCCAGATGCCCATGTAGATAGCCATGTATACGTGTGTAGCGCCCTGGAGGAACAGGCCGCTCATGAAGCAGATGCGCCTACCAATGATGTCGATGAGGCCCCACGTGAAAATCATGGTGAAGAAAAGCTTAAGCGCTCCATAAGCGCCCGAGTTGATCAACGATATATTGTCACTGCGGACACCAGCGTATCGGAAAATTGTAGGGATGTAGTATGTGATTCCGTTACCGCCTGTCCACTGGGCAATTGTCTGCATCGCAAGGCCCAAGAGAAACCGCTTGCGATAGGTGGGAATGGTGGCGACTTCTTTCACAATCTGCCACGTCGTGGTGTCAGACAGTCGTTGTTTCGCATCCCGCACCTGCTCAACAATCTCGGCATATTCTTTTTTGACGGCTGGGTCGTTGGGAGGCGCTCCTCGCAGTCTGGACAAGACCACGAGAGCCTCGTCATTGCGGCCCTTTGATGCAAGCCAGCGAGGAGTGTCCTTGAGAAAAGAGGAAAAGAAGAGGGCAATACCTCCGGGGATCAAAGGCACGCATAGCACAACGCGATATTGCTCCCTAGACGGGGGCAGAGACTTTCTGGCTCCATAACTGATGAAGAACCCTGTGATATGCCATGTTAGAGACGAACACATAATCAGCTAGTATGGGATCCTTGAGTGACCAACCGAACATGAGGAAAGATAGCAGCAGCACCATGTACACGGACACCACCATCCCTCTAGACTTGGATCGAGCAATCTCCGTGAGATAAAGGGGTGCTACGACCGTAAGGCCACCAGCACCAACACCGGAAAACAGCCGCGAGAACAGCAACAGCCCGTATATTCCAGATGAAAAGGTGGTAATGAAGAAACCAGTCATCCAGACAGCCATAAAGGTCCGCCACGTCCGCAGGCGTCCAATCTTATCTGTGATGGCCAAGGCGATGATGGCACCAAACGCCGCGCCGAGGACGCCAAACGACGTGATATTCGCTTTTCTCGCAATGAGCTCGTGCCTCCTGTCCTCCCACTGTCGCCCTATAAGTCCTAGATCATATAGGAAGGATGGCATGTCTGCCACTGCAGCAAATCCGCCTTCATCGTAGCCTTGAATAACAGTCAGCGGGTTTTTCTCGATGCAGCCCAGCGAATAGGGGGGAGACGGCGCTAGAGGACAAGAAAAGACGCAAAGAAGAACCACGGCCAGTTTCCATCAATGGAAGAGATATGTCTCACCTTTAGGAATAGACCCGCTGGCAACGATGATAACGGTCAAGATAAAAAAGAGACTGGGCCCAGCCATGATCGGCCGGCTGTTGGCGATTCGTTCCCGGCGACCCTCCGCAGATCCAACTTCGCCCCAGTGTTAACGCTGGTCCAACGGAACGTGCCCGAATATCAAAACCAACCGCCCCCCAAGTCGTTTCGCAACAGGTACGAATTCACCCTCTTGCAGGCCGCTATGGGGTTATCTGTCGAATTGCTGCCATCAAATGCCCGCCCTGCAAGCGGATCGCGCACCTTCAGCCGCTTTCCGTTGTGCTCTGCCGGCACTTGGTGCACGCCGCTAACGCGTAGGATCGGAGTGATGTGATGGCAACGGAGCCGAGTGGCTCTCGAGGTGGACACTTTGTGACGGATTGTGTCCGTGTCTCCCTGCAGGTCGAGTCGGCTGGATGATTTGTCTCGCCTCGGCCAAGTTCAACGGTCACGGCCCCAGGATGCGAATTGCCCGGTCACCAAAGACGGGAGATAACGAAGCATTGTCGCGATGAAAAGGGTTCGGCAGCCGAACCAGCTAACCAGCCGCTTCCCAACTCGGATTCGTTTCTCACTGGCCATGGGCTTGCGACCCCGCTCCCGTTGTGGTAGGCCGAGGTCCATGCAGAGCCCATTCTCGCGGTAGATGTACCAGGACGAGGCGCCTAGATTACACGCTATTGCGGGTACTCGATACCGGGTGAGTTTAGCCGACATTTAACCCTCTATGACGCCGGCCCCGGTCCAGGCCAAATTGAGAAATGCCCCGTGTTGCCTGAGGCCCAAAGAAGGTCCTTGCAGCGTCGAGCCAAAGGAATTGGCGCCTGTTTGGGTCGACCGAGCCTCGTTCCCCAAAGACGCAAGTTCCAGAAAGCCGCAGTGAAGCTCAGAAAAACATCACCAACCCAGCGCCATGGTGTTGCATGGCAATGGGCGCGTTGGGCGCCCCTTGTATAGGCGGAGATGGAGCTCACGGTAGTTCATGTGCTCCGTTGCATGCGAATCCGGGTGGGGGACCATCGGCCAACTTCCGATCCGAAGCTCTCGAGTCCCACCGCAGCTGTGAGGCTCCCTGATGCACGAGTACTCACTCGTACAGATACAGCGGCGACAACTCATAACATGACAAAGCCCGATCGTGTGCCCGCCATCTTGGGCCATCCAGCGGACCAATGCGGCTGCTCCCGTCGACCCCGTCATTGCCAGTTTGCGTAAGTCTCGCGCCAGAAGAAGCATCACTCCAAGGGACGCGCCATGGATCTAGTTTTGTAGAATGACCCCCTTGCGGGGCACCCCCTTGGGTCAGATCTCCTCATTGTGAGAAATATCACTCATTGGACCGAGTAGATGCTTCGGGAAGTTGCACAAGTATACCGGTATGCCGGCTTATGCTTTCTGCCAATCGCTGTGCTGTGCTGTGTACTCGTATACCAAGTATTTCGTATATCTAACATCGTCAAGGCCACCTTGGCTCCTCTTTCATCCCCGATTTCCTCTCGTACGTGTACCTGGACGATAACTGTGCTTGGTATCGAATGTAAGGGGCCCTCTGACTAGTAGCAGCATTCACCAAATTGTTTGTGGAGATGTATCCGTAGTTGCTCTGCAAAAGGAAGTTGTACTTTTAGTCGTCGGTCCCAACAAGAGGAGATACCTAACAACCATCAAGGTCAGCACTCGTCATCGATGACATTATTAAGGGGCGGTGGGTAAATGCCCGACCCAAAACTGCGTCTTTGTGCGTGTGCTCCGTTCTTATCCATGCCAATGGGGATTGATCTGGAATTCACCCGTCAACAGCCTGTTATTCACCAATTCGTCATCTCACCGCGGAGAGGGAAGGTTTCTGCAAAGCTCATCTTCCTCCTCATCCGTACTCGTATACCACACCTCGCCTGCTGCCAGCGCGAATGTCTTTCTTTGTCCACGAATAATTCCACGAATAAAAGCGAAATCCTTTGTTTTGGGTTAATGCCGGCTAGCTGATTTAGTAGGTAGCATTGATGGTCATCCGTTCGATCCTCCGCGCTTCCGTGAGCAGGGAAGTGGTCAGTCAATGGTGGCTTTCCATCGTCAAAAACCATTGGTCGTGTTGCTTCCATACAGAATCTCTCTCTCTATCTTGTTGATGATAGCTGCATAACTGCGGGTCCATTGTCTCACTCTGAGCGGAGTGAAGGTTCCCATCCAGCACAGATGATTCCATTGTTAGCCTGGATGATAAACTCTTTGGCTGAGACATGCAGATGGAGGCATCGGGAGTTGTAGCATGCGCCCAATGCAGCAAAGGATCCCAGTATCCGGACAGCACGGAGCCCTGTGTCAGTTGAGAGAATGTTCGCCTGTTACCAACGTAGAAATAAACACTGTATCCATGTGGGTGGCACCGTTCTGGCGGTACCGGCAGATTCCAGCATAAGGTACGTGGAGTATTGCTCGCATGTAATCGGTATGTAGACACCCCTTCAGAGGCCCCGCAGCCAATGCATTATGGTGCATAGGCACTCGTATATTCTTTTCACGCATTGATACCGAGAGCCGGGATTGGGCTAATAAAGTCATCGCCCGTAGGCTTTCGGCCAACTTCCGCCCTGCTGCCATATTGTAGTCGTATTACCTCTGTTTCTTGCGGACGAACGGACTCCATCCAGAGCGTCACTGAACGATGAATGGCCAGGGATGCCGCCCCGCAAGCATTCCCCGATCTGTACATCGATATATATATATATATACCTACCTAGGTAAGTGCCTCTGAACACAAGGTAAGTCTCTCTTCCACTCACCTCCCTTTTTGAAGCTCTTCAATCAGCGATACGGGGCTTCCACTGCACACGATAACGGACTGGGCTGTGATTCGAACTAGGCCACGTGGACAACAGAGCTGTGAATTTGTGATGAATGTTGTTTCTTTTTGTTCTGTCTAACGGCTACAGTCCTATAATGAGACATCAGCTCGACGTTCGAACCGATGCCCCGGACGTGACCGCGTGCGAGATAGACGCCATGGATACATGACGAAGATCATACCAAGCTATCTCCTAAGATATGGGCAGAGCAGCCGTGGCCGTCTACAGTGGCACGGTCTAGCTCTTATCTCATGTCGAGCTACGATGGAAGCTTATTCTTTTATCCGATTCGACTACTTTCCGAAGACGTTTCTCCAAGGACGAGGGTGAGGAGACAGGCCCGTAAACCTGGCGAATGGCGGTGGCTAAAATGGATTTTGCGTATCGGTATTAGGAAGAGCACCGACTCTGACGCTGAGTGGCTCTAAAGATGACATTGCCTCAAAGATTCCTGGATCCATGGACATAGTGTGGGTGCCGTAGCTGTGAGGTGAGGGAACATGAAATAGTGGGTGAGCAGACTGCGGTTGCGAAGAGGGCACCTCGGCAGCCTGGTACACGGGACTTCCTTGGGGAAATTCGGTGGCAGCAGGAGGCGGAGGTGGTTGGTAGTGGTCTTGCACATCTAACGAGATGCCGACCGCTGAAAGCTCCTTGCTCAATAAATTTATGGCACTGCCGATGACTGAGATGTGTCAGAACAGGTTTGACTTGGAAATTCGGGATACAAAGCAAGCGGAAGAAGGGGAAAGTATGCCTAGGTCTGTGACTTACCAGGGCTAAACGTCCTGACTTGCTTCAAAGCTTCGATACAGTAGTTTAGCCGCTCAAGGGCTTGCCCATCATCTGGGGCTGCTTGGACCTGGAGCAGAAATATGGACGAAGCAATGTAGACACTGTACGCCAGCGACAGCACACAGTAGTTCATCGTGAACGTCCGGCAGAAAAGATCAAAGATGGCTATGATGGCGGTGGCGGAGGTTACGCATTCGACGAGGTAGCGCTTATGTGACGCAACGTCATCTTCCAGTTTTCTTCGAGTGAGCATCGGGCGGTAAAGAAGGATTTTGAACGTATGATAGAGACAGCTATCGGACGGTTAACCAACTCTACGAAATCGGCGGTTGGGACCAGCCAAGACTTACTTTGTGGTGACAATATGAGACGGTGGGGCCAGGTTGGGCAAGGCCATGGGCTCCAGCTTCAGATACGGGGCCAACTCGTCCCACCACTGCTGCAGAGCCGGCTCCTGGGCAGTCAAGCACTCCTGCACTTCGGGTTCCGTATTCTGCATGAGTGGGTCGTACATGTGAATCAAGATCTCGTTGAAGATGACTGATAGCCGGCACATGCTCAAGAAGCACGAGGCCGAGTGAGCGGTGGACGGTGGGTACTTCCAAGGTGCATTTTGAAGTGGAGGCGCGCCAAACGGAACCCACAGCTCGTTCTCAGCAGAGTCGTCAACTTATAACAGCAGACGTTAGCAGGCAGACGTCAAACGTCAACATGAGCGACTTACACATGATCTGAGGTGGAGATACGGTAGTGTGCTTGAGCGATGGTGAACGACCGAGATAGAGACTGATGATTTTGTCCCAGAAATAGCAGGACCAAAAGACTCGATGTCGGATTTCCACCTCTTCGTCGCTGAAATGGACGGAGCCAGGATACCGCTCTCCGTCGACATGAATTCCCAAGTGGTCGATTAGTCGGAATGCCAGGCCGCTGTATGTCCAAGCTTGGGTTGTGTTTCCAAGACTGCACTCCTGCGCGCTCAGGAGCAGCAGGGTTTGAACAGTCGGGATCGTGCAAACACCCCTGCTCAGTTCGTCAAACAGCATGCTGCGTGCGTGCTTACCAAACACAGCACCTCCATCGTACGACTCATCCAGAATGCGCTTGGTATTTGGATCGCTCTTTGCCCATCGGATTGAATGTGAGAGAACAGCGTTGAGGAGCGTATGGGAGTAATACGGACCCAGGGATTGCATATCACCTACAAAACTCGTAAATATCACAAAAAAAACAATTTGCAAAAGGGGAAAAAAACTACAGGGGTGCGTACGAGTAAAGGCAGGTCGGTAGATGAAGTTGAAGAGGGGTTGTATCCAACACCAGTGGACATTGAGAAGAGTCTGGAACGGTTCCTGCGAAGAGAAAAAATCATGAGACTAATGCTATCAAATAGCCAAAACCACATCATCACACGTACGGGAATTCCAGAGTGCTCCTCCAAGACACGTTGCTGCCACGCATTTGAGACAAGGCGCTCTCTCCGTTGGTGTTCGACCTCGGTGGCAGAGGCGTGTAAGTCGACAGCCACGGCGGCAGAGCTGTGGTCACTGGGGAGGTTGAAGAAACTGGTCGTTCCATGGTAGGTGATGCCGCCCTTGTCGTCTATCTTGAGGCTTCGGAAACTTCGGGCTATGCTGTCGTCGATTTGCTGCCGGGGGTCTTGCTGGGCCGAAGGGCTTGAGTGACTTGACGCGGGAGATTTGCTGTCGCTGGCGGCCACCGGTGGTGTTGCCGCCGTGGCCTTTGCGAGCTGGTCCTCCAGATCCTTAATGCGGTCCTCCAGCCTCTGCGTATACGACAGCGTCGGGTTCCTGCAGAGCGAGTTAGTCGGCCACAAGGGACAGAGCCACCGGGAGCAATAGAAGAGTCTCAAGTAAGTCACACAGTTTATACACGCATTCATCGTTGCGAGCAGCGCAGCGTTGGCACATGGGCTGCTCGCCGCCGCACTTGACCTAACGCCACCAGCAAAGGTCAGCTCAGCTCTGGACAACACTGGAACCAATCTCTCGTCTCAGCGCGCATCCATCTTAGCAGAAGAAGCTAGAGACAGGGACGCTACAGCCGAGCCCAAGCTCACGCTCACGCTCACCTTGCGCCTGCGACACGGCTCGCAGGAGAACGCGCTCTTCTTGGTGGCCTTTGCCGTCGACATGGCGGGCTGGTGGCACCTTGAAAACTCCGGGCTGGGGAAAAAGAGACTGGACAATTGCTGGCGAGAAAAGAACCCTGTGCCTGTGCCTGTGCCTGTGTCTGCGCTTGGCTCGCTCTAAGCTCAAAGCACTGCCCCGCGTCTCATGCAATTTGATCCCCGCTCCCTCTGCCGGGATGGCCAACGGGTTGAAAAGGCCACAGCTGTATGTCTGATTGGCGAGCCGAGCATTAGTGAAATCCCGCTGCCGCGTGTTCCTGAGCCCAGATGCCAAGATGCTCGAATCCGGTACGTGGTGATGCAGTGAGACGAAATGCCGTGCGGAATTTGGGCATTGAGCTTCGTTCGGTGCTGATCAGGTGACTCGGCCAGCACCGCTTTGGCTGTGCTGTCAAAACTCAAAAACTCGGTACCTATACGGTACATGCACCGCGCAGGCAGAACACCGGGGCAATCGAGTGACTGGCCTATTGGTGGGCGCCTTCTCCGAGTACCTATAGGTACATGTAATGTTAGTACATAAGAGGCAGTTGGGTTCTGCGGTTTTTGTCGCTTGGGCCTGACAAATGCCGGCTCTCCCAACGTCGGCGACCAGCCTCACAAAGCCGGAGCGTTACGGAGCAAAATGGCGCCCATTTTCGGAGTTGAGACGATGAGTAATCGGGGATACCCGCTCCGTAGCTGCGTCGTCGGCATTGGCCGAGAGCTACGGCCCAAACAAGCATCTTTTGCTAATGCCGAATACGAATAATTGCTCAGTGAATTCTGTGTTTACAACAGCATATACGTGCACATAAAGCCACCTTCTGAATCGTAGCAATAATCGACTACTGAGGGTGAATTTTTATATATGCCTTGGTTTACATCAATTAGGTCTTGGTACCATCCGGGAATGTACTGCCTCCTATTAATCTGGGTAAGATCAATTGGCACGACAGGTTTGTATAGCGTCATCGGTAAATGCCATAGTCATGCAGGGTAGCCAAGGTGATAACTCGACAGGCTGGCAGCTCCAATTTCATATTAATCATGTGTACAATCCATAGCGGCCGCTGACCCATTCAATTGCATCTTGGATCGAGGCCTATTCACTTGCCAACTTTTACATCAAGCTGTACCGTCTGGTGTTGGTCCCTGGTGTGCCGGGCCGGGCCGGGCTGTGGGGCTATCAATGCCGTTGGTTGTGACGGGTTATAAGGCTGATCGTATCATTTACACGGGCTATCTTGGATAGCAAAAGCTGCTGGTCTCGAGAATACAAGCTAACATGGCAGATGGCTTAAGCGAGTGACCAATTGCCATGCACGTAGAAAGGGTGCAATGACCTGGAATGGAATGATCGGCTGACACTATTGGCTAAGACACGGATCCTTCGGCCCCCAAATCACATGCTACCTATACATGACAAAAAGGCACAGGCAAAGCTACTTAATCTTTTTGGTCATCATCAATTTACTTTCATTTTCAGGCCGTTATTATATACACATTATGGTATTATATCATCCCCCCTCTTAATTTACTGAGAGCAGAGGCTGTTGTGGACGGAAGGAGGGTTGGAGGAAGCGTCTCCCCAGTTGAGGCTGCCGAGCTGCTGGCCCAGAGCAGTTGAGCCGTCGGCACGGAGGTAATCAGCTGTGAATGGTTAGCGATCTGGTTTGAAATAGATGAATCTTGCTTGTTTCAAGATTTTGAGTGTGCGATACTTACAGGCAACGGGGAAGTACCACCAGTCCTGGCTCCGGAAAGCGTTGTCGTCAAGCTGAGACAGAGGGTCGTTCCAGCCCTGCGTGTCAAATAATTAGAAAAAGAGTCAAGTCAAAAGCTATAGTTGTACGAGGCTTCTTCAACTTACAGTGTTGCGGTCGTTGTAGTTGGCGTGCTTGCTCCAAGCAACGTAGACCTTGGGGTGGTCAAGGTTCTGGCGGCCGTTGTCACCACCGCGCTGAAGGGTGCCATCGGCAGTGTTGAAGGTGTTTTGGATATCGCTCCAGTTCAGGGTGTCATAGCCAGAGTGCTGAGACAGAAGGAGTTTGCTGGGAGTCCAGTTTGAGTCTCCGCCCTTGGCCCACTCAACAATGACACGCTCCCAGTCGCTAGATGGCGTTAATGACATGAATATTGTCCAATCGAAGCCGGAGAGTACTTACTAAGGGTGGCCCAAAATGCCCTCGGGAGTGGTGCTAAAAGGGGCTTGGTCAGTATCATTAAGCCTAATCATTTTCAGAGAAGCCCAAAACTTACCCATCCTTCTCATAGAACACCGAGTACTGAATTCGGATGGTGGTGTCGGTGCACTTCTGGTAGGAGTAGTAGGTAGGGAATGAAGGCGAAGGGTTCGTGATGCCAACGCCGGGGGTACGGCAGCTGCAGCCAACGTTGGGATAGGCGCAAAGGGGGGCGGAGGGAGTTTGCTGGCCGTTGGTGGTGGCAAAGGTGGGAATGCAAGGAGGCTGGTTCATGGCCTGGCCGAAGAACCACATGGGCTGGGCCCTCATGGCAAGCTCGACACCTCCGGCATTGAGCAGGTTGTTCATGTCGGAATCGGAGACGGGAGTGACGGCGGAGGCCAGGGAGGCCAGGCCGGTTCCGGCGAGGAGGGTCTTGATGGCGGTCTTCATCTTGAATTCACTGGACAACAGATACTAGGGGGGATATCTGGTGAGGGCTTGAGGCTGGAGGGTGGCGAGACGAGAAAAAGGGCGAGACAGTAGAAGGGATGGCCGCTCTGTTATATACTAGTATAATAGTTGTCCCATTTTACGTCCACGCCTTGGGCCCTTGCACACTCCATTGCGATCAACAAAAAGGCTTGTGATGGAGCCATCGGTAGCAGGCCAACCCGTGTCGTTGCAGTATGCTCTGCGCCGACCTGCCTATTCCATTCAACCACGGATGTCGCCAATTCACTAATCAGGTGAGGACCAATCGGGCAGACCCTCCATAGCCTCCTCGGCCGAGTCCTCCACACCCCCCTTTTGGGCTTGTTCGACCGAGGACGCCTTGTGGACGGTCTAGCCATTGGCGCTTGGAGGTTGATACAATTTGGCAGGTCTGCGAGGGCGAAGCGCGGCTGACGCTGAGTCGAGTGCTTACAGAGTCACATTAGACCATCACATCATTCATGCAGGCAACGTTTAGCCCCTGGCTAGAGCAATGGGGCGCCTTGAATCCAAGTGCCAAATTAGGATGGGTGGAAACTCGCGGGGAGGTGGAGAGCGCCGCCATTCGTGGAGATGCTTCTCGTGTCCGTCTCGAACGTTGCGAAGTTCCCGATGCAAACAGCGTGCATGTGTTTTGTAAATTGCAGGTAGTATTTAGAATGCGAGGCGTGGTAACGCTAGAATGTCATCGGGTTCTGGGGGCCATGATCAGGAGCGAGATTTTCCATGCGCATCTTCGGCTGTATTTGCCTGCTTCGGCAGATGAATGACTTTTGGGGGATGATGTGCCTTTTCGCGCACTTGATGCCGAGCAAATGCCCGTGCAGTAGCAGCATCAATATCATACAGCGGTATGACTTGGCATTGTGAGACCTTGTACATACTCAAAATTGACTTGGATCTACATACTCACAGGGCCGCAGTAATCGCCAAGTGATCAGCGATGCACTTGTTTTGATCCCAAGGCGCTAGCACTAGAATCGTGCTGTCAACGAATGCTTCAGCTGACCAATGTGCATCTACTGTCCGCTTTTCCACCTATCAGATGGTCTTGAGGACATTGAATTAACTTGGCCTCTGGCTCTAGCGATGCAAACTGCACTGCAATGAACCATAGATCTCGTATCGCCGCCCTGGAGAGAAGAAGACGAAGAAGAGGTGAAGATTGAAGGCGGAGAAGCAGGTGTGCTCTAGCTCCCGAAGTGGGAAAACGGGATATGCCTATCTTGGAAACATTCCCGATAAGCATTAACCAAAGAATCATGGTTGTTTATTCCCTAGCCACCTGCTATTCCAGTTTGTGATGGGCTTTGCATGCGGCATGTGCCAAATCCATCTCCGGCCTCGTGGCTTCGGTGTCCAAATGGTCCAAGGAAGATTTTTAAATGCAGCTATTTAAACCTCGTGGCCTCGCCATAGGACACCAGACGTCGGTCGCGGATGTTCTGGACAAGGCATTGCGCATGGCGGTGGAATTGCCTCTGAGCGCTTGCAATTAAACCGCGCCCAGGTGCTGAGGAGGCGATCCTGGATTGGCCATGATGCATGTCTTGGAGCTTGCCGACGGCCGCAATGGAGGAGTAAAAAAATCGAGATGACATCAAAACACAAGGCCCTGTTGCGGGCTGTAAGCGATGAGATCCACAGATCAATGGGAGTATCCCTGCACGGTGACAAAGGAGGCTAGGGTTTGTTGCGAGGGGAATGTTTTTATTCACCGATGCATCTTAACAATCTCTAAGCTATCATATGCTTCCATTGGATGTAACATGCAGTTTGTGGTACATGATAGTTTCTGCGCTCGTGTATCTATCTCGCATGCCATTTGACGGGAATCAACTGGGGCTGCGGCATATTTTGGACATCTCAAATGCAAGTAGCTGGGATCCTGACTCAACACAGACAGGGGTTTCTTCAAGTTGATAGTATTCCGCACATTATCGACTTGATGGTACCATACATGCACCCTGCCAGGTACACAGATCTAGCTTACACATGTCCGTGTAGGTGGTAAGACATCTGTGACAGCCAAGCCGCCATAGCCTATCGGTTTGAGCCGAAAATACTATTTAGGTGGCGCTGAATCAGACGGAACAGTCTCTCCCGTAAAACGGACAAGATTGCAGGTCAATGCTCTATGCTGTCATACTATGCTTATAATAAGCCTTGAGCCAAATTTCCAACTCTATTGGACATTTGAAGGATGAAACAACGGCGAGGTGCAATGACATGTCGATAGCCTACCCGAGACTTCAATAATTTGAGCAGTGACATTAGTTGATGTTTCTTATCAAGTCTGTCTACTCGATAGAATACTACCTACGAGTATGTGTCATGAACGTGCCTGTGTTAGTGTAGTCCCATTCAAGGTTACATGTCGACTCGTACGTGCATGCCAGTCCACTTGGCTCAAAGGTGCTTGGGGTGCCAGTGTGGAGCGAATTTGGTAATTTGGCCTAGAGATTTTGATAATGGATATTTCTCACCGTCATTCGTATCGAGAGCATGCAGTTTGGCAACAGCGGGTAGGTTCTACTTTATTCTTATACAGGTAATTGCAGCGATATGATATAAAGGGAAGAGAAACGGATCGAGGAATTATTTTTGTTTTAAGCACCATCATAATAGTTGTTTAGACGCATACAGGACATGGCGAGCGTTACAAGCTTAGCAGCCTTATAGATGGACAACATTGCTCGCCTTGTATATTTATACATGACTGCATCGCCTTATAACATATGTACTATGAGCAAGATCATGACAATCATATCAGACAAGCCTCAGGGGCAGCTCTTTGCCGTCAATCCAGGTTTGCAAATCCCTAGCTGCCTGCTCATAGAAGCCGTTGATGGCAGCCTCTTCAACGTAGCCGGTGTGCGGTGTGACTAGCAAATGACTCCGACCATTCTTACCCCATTCAGAGCTCCTCCATTCACTGTCCACAGGAAGAGGTTCCTGCCAAAAGACATCGAGCGCTGCGCCGCGAATCTTGCCGGCCTTGAGAGTGTTGAGCAGATCCTGTTCGTTGACGAGCGGGCCTCTCGACGTGTTGTGGAAGAAGGCCGATGGCTTCATCAGGTCAAAGTCCTTGGATGTGATGAATCCTCGGGTGCGGTCCGAGAGCACATAGTTCAGGCTGACGACGTCAGAGGTTCTGAAGAGCTCCTCGCGGCTGACGGCCTTGAAAGTCTTTTCTCCAGTGGAGGTTGTGACTGGCAAGTTGAAGTGCTTGGCTTGTTCATCGGCAGCCTCCTGAGTAAGGTTCTGGCTCCAGGCTATGACCTTCATGCCAAAACCAACGTGAAGAATACGAGCTGCAGCACCGCCCAGACGGCCAAGCCCGATGATACCCAGAGTCTTTCCGGACAGGGAAGTGCAAAGACCGGTCTGCCACAGGCCCGCTTTCATTGCAGCGTCGTCTACGGCAATGTTTCTGGCGAGTGCCAGGATCGTGGTCACGATATGCTCAACTGTACTCTCGACGGCATTCTCCCCAGTGTTATGAACGTGAACCGCCGTGGCGACGGGGATGCCCCGCGCCTTGAATGCATCGAGATCCAACGACAGGTTGCGGCGAGCCTGGGTCGTGAGAAGCTGCAGATTGGGCAGCCGATTCACCAGCTCTGCAGGGAACGGCGTCCGCTCTCTTACAGTACCTTTATTGACACATTTAGTACATGTATTGTTGTCGTTAGACCAACGCGTATGAGGCTATACATACTAATGACATTAAAGGGCTCAAGTCTCTTGACCAACTCATCCTTGACCGACTGCGGGGTGTCTGGGCCGTTGTATGGCAGCAAAGTGTCTGGAAAGTAAGCAACCTCATGTTGATCCTTGAACTTTGCAAAGTGCTTCTCAGACGCATGTTGGTAATCGTCTAGGACGGCAATCTTGAGTCGCTTGGCAGCCATGATGGACAAGGTTGAGTTGATACCTTGATTAAGAGATCAGAGAGGATTGAATGTTTCGCAAGATTGTAGACATGATTGCGACATCGCTTTGTCTGTTAGTGGAGTAAACCATTGCATAATATACAGCCTCTTGCATTGCATTCATTTACCCTTCCGGTTTGTAAGCGTTATATCCGCGTACAGTTCCCGGCCTCACGCTAGTACTGTCTCTCCGCATCTGATAAAGAAGTCGGCTTCTTGGACGGCAAATACTGTCGTATGTAAATTATTTATGAGAAGATGTTTGTGCTGTCTTTACTTTCGAATAGCCTATATTGTGTTATGATTTGGTTGCGGTAAACACAATCCACGCCATCAGCGGAACGCCAAGGAAGCTCGCCCACCAATACCAGATGCCTGCGATAATTCTCGCCATCGAGTAACGAAACCTGGAGGGTGGGAGTGGTGCTAAGACGGCAAGTCTGTGAAATCCAGGAGAGAAGATTCTCGTGTATTGGGGTAGAATGTTCCTCCGTCGAGCAAAGCGATGGATTTTCCAGAAGACGAGGTCCAAGAGATATAGCTCGAGGATGAGCATCTTTGCAGCTAGCCAGAAGTATCGGACCAGGACCAGAGCTCGAATTCCTTGATGGCATAGTGTCGGGGTTTGGCGCAGGGGATAGTATTCTTGTTGCAAGCGAATAAGGATCCTATCGTGACCCTCTTTTGGTGTCATGATGGCGCATATGCGGACGTGTTGAAAGATGAGGCTCAGAATGAGATGCCATCGGAAGAGGTGCGACGAGTTGTATCCGTGGAGCTTGGCGTTTGGTCCGTCTTCCCGCCATCCAGTCACGGCTCTGAGGTGTTCCATCTGATGCGTGGTGTTTCCTGTAGGTGATTTCGTTCCGTCTGCGAAATTTGCTAAATACATGTACCCCACGCTGCATGATTGTCCAAGGTGAGAAGAGTGAAGTCCATAGGGGCCTACAGATGAGTAGCCGAGGTGTTAAAGTGCTGATATCGAGCGAAGATTCGATGCGTATTGAGGGAAGTTGAGTCCCAAGTTATATCGGATTTTTGAGAATGAAAATGGCTTATGAGGGGCCCGGTTGGATGTTTTGATGAGAGAATGAAACCATCAAAGTGAGCGTGGCGCGCAATCAATCACTATCATGGTGGGGTGAGCTCATGTGAGCACACGAGCACGGAGATTGACGCACGGGGATCTTTATATAGAGTGCAGCCTCTCTCTATATTTATTTTAACACGACTACCTGGTAAACATATGGAATTAAAATGCTTTGTTTTATTATGCTTATACTGTTTTAATATTACAGAGTACGTGTAGCAATAATTACACCCCATTTGACTGAGAACCCATCGGCTCGGATGGACAGAATCATAAAAGCCCATACTCCCAACATTGATCGCCTATACTTACAGCTTGCTCAGTCTCGACGCTCCATCCAATCGGATGACTGTTCCGTTCAACATGGGATTCTCGATAATGTGCTTGACCTACGCATGTGCTCGTTAATCTCTGCAAAGTTTAACCCAAACGTTGATGCACTCACCAAGATAGCAAAGTCGGGCGGATTGCCGGCTCGGTTCGGAAACACAAACGTGTCTTCTATGGCTTTCCGAACCCTGTCGCTCATACCAATCGACAGATTCGTGTTGAACAGGCTGGGGGCGATGGCAACGACGCGGATGCCGTAGCTCGCCAGATCGCGAGACATGGGCAACGCCATTGATGCGACAGCTCCCTTGGTAGCCGCATAGGCGACCTGGCCGTACTGGCCGTCAAAGGCGCTCGAGCTGCTGACCAGGATGACGACGCCGCGCTCTCCGTCTGGGCCCTCGGGCTCGACCTTGGCGAGATGGACTGCGGCTTGCCGGACGAGGTCGATTACGCCTCGAAAGTTGACGCTCAGGACAAAGTCGACGTCGTCAATGTTTAGAGACTCGCCCTTGCGGTTGAGGATCTGTATCTTGTTTAGCGGAATAGCCGGCTCATGGCATGGGGCAATAGCAAAATCCTACAGCTGCTGGGAGACCAATGCCTGCTCCGGGGATGATACCGCCCAGTGGCTTTCCCGTCTGCTTCACCCAGTCCACGGTGCCCTGGACGGCCTTTGCGATGCTCTCAGTCTCAGTCACATTGCAGTGGAAGAACTTTGCGGATGGGCCGAGCTCCTTTTCCAACTCCTTGCCGTCTTCTTCGTCGGACAGGTCGAGGACCGAGACATAACCGCCGGCTTTGATGATTTCGATGGCGGAGCTCTTGCCGAGGCCGGATGCGCCGCCGGAGATGATGAAGGTGCGGTCCTGGATCTTCATGGCTGAGATGGATTGAAGGTGAGTTGAACTGAGTTGAATGGTGTTTCGTTATAAAGGAGAGAAAACAAGATTTGATGCGAGATGCTTAGAGTTGTGAATAATATGGATGTCATATTGCTAGTCATCAAGCGCGGCCGTATTTGTGTGAAACCAAGGCGCTGTGCCGAGGCTCAGAGCTCCAGTTCAATTGATGTGTTCATGTTGCCATCCAATTCCAGAGTCAATTCCAGGTGCTCCTCAGCACTAACAGCGTCGAGTCAGATTGTACTACATGTAATCTACAGCACATGTACATGTACGAGTATACCACTGCTGCTATGCCTTTTGAGAGTTCCCCAAGATACAGCAGCAATGGTCATAATTCAAAAAGGTGGCCTCAGGCTCTTAAACGATAATCTCATCACCTTGTTTTTCTAGCCCAACTTGTCCTTTGCAAGAATCACAAGTTCATGTTGTACACCGTATATCAGCCACATGACGGCCCCGGGGTGGGTTCGACTCCATTCATGCCCAGCGACAGCTTAGTCATTGGGCTGCGTTCAGCGATACGCAGTGGGCGGTTCAGTTCGTTCAGGCTCAGCTTCAGTGGGGGTTTGGCGCCGTCTTCGCACTACGAGGTGCGGCCATTCAGAGGGCCCGTGCGCTGAAAGCACAGTGACACCATCCCTGCATACCAAGCCACTTTGGTGACCCGAAGCGACATCACACATTCAGAATCTCGCAACGATATCTTTTCTTATCTCTGTGTTTCACTCTGACGACACCCGGCACTCTCGGGCCTCTGCTGCTGCATCATCGACAAAGCCAGCGACGATACTTGCGCCCTTCTTTAATAGCTTGCATTCGCCAGTCGAGACTCGCGGCCCATGATGAGACCCAGGCGGTCGTCCGGGGCGAGCGACTCCAGCACTGGAACAGCCCGCCCCGAACAGGTGAGGAAGCTCACGACGGAGCCCAGGACGAGGCTGGTATGACGAGCTGTACTGAGACAACAATGGGATAGGAACTCGGAAGCATGTACGACTACTTGGCCAAGATTATATTGCTGGGACCCAGCGGCTCGGGGAAGTAAGTGGCACTGCAGACGCAGCAGTCTCTGCAGGTTGACGATAGCTAACGAGGAGAATCGCTGCACACAGGTCATGTCTGCTTCATCGGTTTGTCAAGAACGAATGGCGAGTACTCTCGTCACAGACCATCGGCGTCGAGTTTGCCACGAAAATCATCAAAGTCGGGAGCGGGGCGAGACGAAAGCGGATAAAACTCCAAGTATACCAACCCCTCGTCCATCTACTGCAGGGGGCCAAGCATGTGCTGATACAATCCTTTCTCTTGACAGCTATGGGATACAGCAGGTACCGAGCGGTTTCGATCGGTTTCGAGGTCGTACTATCGAGGAGCGGCCGGCGCAATCTTGGTTTACGACATCGCATCGCACTTATCCTTCCGAGGGCTACAACCGTTTCTTAACGATGCGCGGGCGCTAGCGTCTCCTCATCTGAGCGTCATGCTGGTGGGAAACAAGTTGGACTTGGCTTCTGAGAACCTCATTGATACAAGTTTGCCTCCTCCAACTCCCAGCAGCGTGGGCTCTGTAGCCACTATGACGGCGGGCGTCAACGGCGGGGCTTCCTCTTCCTACAGGGACCATGCCGGTTCCATTGGAGCCGGCTCGCAACAGAGAGCTACGGAGGCGCCAGAGGGTCGTGAGATATCATCTGCCGAGGCGAGCCGGTGGGCTAGCACCGTGGGCATTCCCGTCGTGACAGAAGCAAGCGCGCTTAACGGCGAAGGCGTGGATGAGATTTTCAACCGACTGGCCAGGATGATCTTGACCAAGATTGAGCTGGGCGAAATTGACCCAGACGACCCTATGAGCGGCATTCAATACGGAGACGGTGGCGGATGGAATACGGCCAGCGATGGAGGCAGCATTAAAAGCTCCATCACCGGCGGCACGCTGGACGAGAGCCTCAGCGGCCCACGGAGACGCAGAAGAGGGAAAAGCCGAAACCAGAACTGGAATCTGCGGGAATGGGAAGAAGTCTTTACGCTGAGCAGCCGTCGGAGGGGCCGAGGATGCTGTTGATGAAGACGCCCATGACTAACGACCTTTTTTGTTGTTGTTTGTTTCTTTTGTGTCTTTCCTTCCTTTTCACTTTTTATAAGCCCAACCATGTTCAGTTCTATATGCGCTCACGACAAAATGGGAGGAAACCGTTGAAGGATAATACGCATAACCAGCCCTGTTCTTTTTTTTTTTTTGTTCTTTTATCTTGCTATGCAGAAATGAGCTTTGAGACATGCAATGATGAGCAAGCAATATTGGCGTTTGAGGAGCAGTATAGAAGTTTTGAAGCCGGCCTCTTGAGTTGGCCCCGACTATTTCTTTTCTTTCTTTTGCTTGTCCTATTTTCCTTGTTGTCTGTCAAACTGTCCTTGAGCTCTTTTCTTGTTGTTTAGTATCGTTAGTGAATAGGCGAAAATAATTGCTTGGTTTCTCTGCGAATATAGCCGTTGCTTTCCTTTGTTTTGCTTTGCCTTGCTCTCACTTGTAGTGCATTGTATCATTGTATGTATCGTCAGTGCCCAACCCTGCATCATGTATACATGTAGGTACATCCGAGAAGCTCGTCGGGCATCACTGGACACATAATCGGAGTCACTCTGCAGCCATCTTATGCCGGATGGGGTACAGCGCAGTTGTTAGCCTTGGAGTGTCTTAATCTGTGATTTTAATTGCCTGCAGCAGTTCGCATTGCATGTTCCGAATAATCGTCCAGTCCACTCACTCCTTGCATCCCCCAATAAACCCCCACCTTGCCCCTTCAAGGTGCGGAGAGCGACGTTCCGCGATGCAGCGTCTATAAGTCTCGAAGTTCAAGTATAAAGTATCGATTGACTCTTGTTACTAACAACGGATTTCCCTTTTCTTTCTTCCCTTTTCCTTTCTATTCCATCCTTGTTCAAAGCATCTTCTCTTCTCAAATTTGACGGCATTTCTTGTCGTTGCAAGAACCGAGTCGAGTTACTGCCATCACCTGACTTTGCTGCCCAACTCCCCCGCAATGGCGCCTCGAACCACCATCCCCATCAACGAGGGTTGGCAGTTTGGACGAACAGATGTAGAGGAAGCTTCGTTTCTGCCCGTTTCCCAATTTCCTACAAATGTCCATCTCGACCTCTTGCATCACAAATTCATTCCCGATCCGTTCATTGGAAAAAATGAACTGGATGTGCAATGGGTGGGAGAGGTGAGGGCCTGGCAGTATCGCACCTCGTTCAAGACTCCCAAGATAGGCAGCAGTGAAAAAGCCATCCTCGCCTTTGATGGATTGGATACCTTTGCTGAGGTGCTCCTCAACGACAAGAAGATTCTCGAAACTGACAACATGTTTATCCCTGAGCGGGTGGATGTCACTGCGCTTCTCAACGAGACGGACAACCAGCTCGTCATCACCTTTGATAGTGCGTATTTGAGAGGATGGGAGAGAGTTGAAAAGATTCCTAGTCACAAATGGGGTACCTGGAATGGAGATTACTCCAGGCTGGGAGTTCGGAAAGCGCAGTATCACTGGGGCTGGGATTGGGGTCCAACGCTGTTGACGTGCGGCCCATGGAAGCCCATCAACCTCGAGATATACGAATCCCGTGTTGCTGATTTATATGCAACCGTCACTGTGGATGATTCTCTCGTCAGCGCCAAGGTTGTCCTCCACGCAGCAACTGAGGGAAAGGCATCCAAGGTGCGGTTTGACTTTTCACACAACGACACCGTTCTGAGCGAGACTGTGAATGTCACAAAAGAAGGGGCTGCTGAGGCTACCTTCAACATTAGCAACCCAGAGCTGTGGTATCCCGTCAGATATGGAAAGCAGCCGCTGTACAAGGCCACGGCGACGCTGCTGGATGGTGATGGTGAGGTGGACGTTGCATCGAAGAGAATAGGCCTTCGAAAGGTGGAACTGGTCCAGAAGCCACTCAAAGATCAGCCGGGAACATCCTTCTTTTTCAAAGTGAACAACACTCCGATATTCTGCGGAGGCAGCTGCTGGATTCCGGCTGACAACTTCACTCCACGAATCACCAAAGAAAAATACCAGAACTGGATCAAGCTCATGGTCGAGGGCAACCAATCCATGATCCGTATCTGGGGCGGTGGCATTTACGAAGATGAGGATCTGCTTGATGCTTGTGACGAACAAGGTATCCTGGTCTGGGTCGACTTTCTGTTTGCCTGCGGAAACTATCCCTGCAACCCAGAGATGTTGCAATCTATCGAAAGGGAAGCTAGAGAGAATGTCAAGATCATGCGACACCACCCTAGTATTGTCATTTACGCTGGCAATAACGAAGATTACCAGTTTCAGGAGAGTGAGGGACTCACTTACAAGTTCGAAGACAAGGATCCTCAAAGCTGGCTCAAGTCAGATTTCCCGGCCCGCTACATCTACGAGCATGTTCTCTCGGAGGTGTGCAAGGACTTGGTACCAGAGACGTTCTATCACTATGGAAGCCCTTGGGGCGGCAAGACATCTTCGGATCCTACTGTAGGAGACATTCATCAATGGAACGTGTGGCATGGCACCCAAGCAAGATATCAAGATTTCGACAAGCTGGGGGGAAGGTTTGTCTCTGAGTTTGGCATGGAGGCTTTCCCATCTATCCGAACCATTGATGCCCTCTTGCCCAAGGGTAAAGACGACCCCGATCGACACCCACAGTCGGACATTGTGGATTTCCACAACAAGGCAGATGGCCATGAGCGCCGTATTGCCCTTTACCTCGCAGAGAACATTACGTTTACGACAAGCCCACTGGAGCAGTATGTCTACTCTACCCAGTTGGTTCAAGCAGAGTGCTTGTCATCAGCATTCCGGCTCTGGCGTCGTGAGTGGAAAGGCCTAGGGCGCGAGTACACCAGCGGAGCTCTCTTGTGGCAGCTCAACGACTGCTGGCCCGTAACTTCTTGGGCCATCGTTGATTACTATCTGCGACCGAAGCTCGCCTACTACACCGTGAAGAGAGAGCTAAATCCTTTCACGGTGGGAATTAAGCGAGTTGAGCACCGCCATCCCAAGAACAAGTACACAAGAGTCGAAATTGACGTCAATACTAAGCTTGAGATTTGGGCTTCCAACTTTACGCTCGATGAGATCAAGATTGACTGCGTTGTCAAGGCATGGGATGCGGAGACGGCCGAGCAAGTCTACAGCGAGACGATTGCATCGTCAAAACAGCTGCCCGGAAACCAAGCAACTGAGTTGACGATCATAGAAGTTCCAGTCAAGACTCCCAATGCCGGCCTTGAGGGTCGCACTGTTGTTGCGGCATATGTGTACCAGGATGGCAAATTGCTCGCTCGATATGTCGACTGGCCGCAGCCACTGAAGCATGTGCGCTTACAACAGCCTGAGAACTTGCAGGCGAAGCTCTCCGAAGACGGCAGTTTAGTCACACTGAGCTCAGACAAGCCAGTCAAGGGTGTTGCTCTGGAGAGCGATGATGAAGCGGTCAAGTTTGACGATAACCTGATTGACCTCGTTCCAGGGGAGGAGGTTACGGTGCGTGTGACGGGCGCTTCCAAGAGCACGGTGATTTCTACAAGGTATCTAGGAATGCACAACTAGACTATTGCTCCTAGTTGTTCGTACTATAGCCTAATGAATGTACGTGTATCGTCGAGCATTGTGGTGTATATGACTATCGCCGCGATTTAATGGGTGAACCGCACTTTGTCGGACCTTCTGCTGTCCCCACGCCGCCGTGAGTGGTTATAAGTGGCTCGCGCAGTGATGACTGTTTTGGTGGAAGGGCAAAATAACTGAACACTTTTCCGTAAATGGGAAAGCTGGACATGGATCTACCGACTATGAGGCTGGCCGGGGATTAAAATCTGTAGAAGCGAGATCCAGAATCCCGCGGGGCTAGAATGAGACTACGGACGCCTCTGCACAATGCCGGATATAGGCTGGGTTTAGCAAAGTCCGGCCGTCTCATGTGAACTTGGACGAGATGGTTATGAAATGGTATGAGTTTGATGAGATATGGAGGTGAAGATGGGAAGAATATAAAAGGCTCTGGAGATGACTTGTAAAGTGTTTTCGTCAAGAGATCATCATCGTCAAACACTTAGACTACGAGCCTTCCACTTACACGGATACAAGCAATCCATAGAACCAGTTTACACAGACTATCCTTTTATACTTGCAACAATGGCTTCCAAGACTTCTCTTCCTTCCACGCATCGAGCTCTTGTTCTGCATTCTCTCGACACCCCCTTGAAAGTCGAGCAGCGGCCTACGCCACAAGTATCACCAGGCAACGTTGTTATCCGAGTGCTCGCCGCCAATGTCCTCTCCTACGGCCGCGACATCCTCGACGGCACTCGTCCGTATCCTTATCCCAAGCCGTACATCCCCGGCGGCAGCGCAGTGGGAAGAATAGCTGCCGTGGGATCGGACTGCAGCACCTTTACCCCTGGGCAGCTGGTCCTTGTGGACATCATGATGCGTGCTCGAGACGATACGTCGGCGAGTTACTTGTTGGGTATTCACAATGGGTTCTCTAGCACGACGGTCAAGCTTGCCACTGATGAGTGGAGGGATTCGACTTATGCCGAGTATGCAAAGATTCCTCTCGAGAGCTGCTATCCTTTGGATGAGGCTCGGCTGCTGGGAGAACCTGCGAGCGGTGGTTTGGGATATACTGTTGATGATTTGGCGTATATACACCGGCTTCTGGTGCCCTTTGGAGGATTCAGGGATGTTGATCTCAAGGTTGGAGAGACTATTCTCATCGGTCCTGCCACGGGACCTTATGGCACTGCGGCCGTGAGCCTTGCTCTCGCTCTGGGAGCCAAAGTGGTCGCTATGGGAAGAAATGCTCAAGTACTGGAGAAGCTCGCGGCGATGAGCGATAAAGTCAAGACAGTTCAAATCACAGGATCAGTAGGGGCAGACACGGAAGCCATCAAAAAGCACGGCCCAATCGACGTCTTCTTCGACATTTCGCCTCCCGTAGCCGCAGAGTCGACGCACATCATGAGCGGGATCCTGTCCCTGGCACACTCGGGCCGTGTAAGTCTGATGGGCGGCATCGCGGGCAACATTTCCATCCCGTACGGCGCCATCATGTTCAACGACCTGAAGCTGCAGGGCAAGTTCATGTACGAGCGGAAGGACGTCAGGATGCTGATCAAGATGGTGGAGAAGGGCATCATGGGGCTGGGCAAGAAGGTTGGGGCTCGCGTTGAGGGAAAGTTTGGGCTTGAGCAGTGGGATGAGGCGTTTACGGCTGCGAAGGAGAATGCTGGACCGGGGCAATTTGTTATTATTGCTCCGTGAGATGTATCTTTGAAGGATAGATGGTATTTCGCTTTGATTTCTATTTACAATAGTTGTAAGTTTTTATAAAACAACTCATAACAAGGACAGTTTAAGCGTCAATGTAGGCCTTGCGAGTCTCGGGGAAGTCGACGATGCCCTTGCCGGCGACGAAAGTCGTGTGCCACGGGGCGTCAACCTTGCCGTCGGCCAGTTGAAGATAGACCTCTGCGTGTGCGGGACCGGAGATGGCACCGCCAACGGCCTTTCCTTCAGGGGTACGCTCATCGGCGAAGTAGAAGCTATACGATAACTTGTTAGTTGTCTATATTCGAGAAGTAGAGAGGTTGGAAATCAAGACTCACCCGTATCCCTTCTCCTTGTAATGTACACTCGCGGCACCAATCCATGAAGCCGCAGCACTCTTGCCGCTCCCCAGGGTCACGTAGATCGGGTTGGGCATAGTAACGGCATTCAGCCAGTTACCAGTGTAGATAAACGCCTTTGACAGCGACTTGTCAAGCTTCTCAAAGCCAGCAACAGCCTCCCTAGCAGCAACATACGCCGAAGTGTTCATAAGCCTCAGATCACTCTCAAACTTGGCAATGTCAATAGTAAAAGGGTTCGTCTTGTCGCTGGGGGGAGTGAGACCCGCGGCATTGTAGATGACGACGTTTGGGTCCGCGCCGAGGGCCTTGCGGACGGAGTCGAAGATGGGCGGGATGGAGTCTGGGTTTGTGAGGTCGGCGGCGATGGAGACTTGGGTGGCGGAGGAGGATTCTTTGGCGGAGCGGGAGACGAGGGCGACTTTGTAGCCGGCTTGGGAGAAGGTGGAGGAGAGGGCTTGGCCGACGTTGGAGCCGGCGCCGAGGATGAGGGCGATGCCTTTGGAAGCCATTGTTTGTGAAGTTGTGATGGAGTTGTTGTGAAAGATGGGTCGTGTTTGATGATGTTATAGTGTTGTTGTATGTTGATGATTGTTGTTATCCTCTGAGCATCACCGTTGTCTTATACAAGTTGATAACACCCACATTCTACTCTACAGTTTCATCAAGGCATCCCACTCAATACAATTTGTAAGCCCCCATCTTCAACGATTCCAAACGCCTTGCATCAAAGGATCGCTTCCACCTAAGCAAGGGCAACTATCAAGTCCTCCAGATCCATATAATCACCTCCTTTGGGCCACCAAGTTACGCCATAGACGAGGCTGATTTCGTAGCCTTGTGATTTCAAAGCCAGGCTACTCCTCTTTAAACCAGTAAGACATGCCACTGTGAGGCTGACAATTCATCAACTTGGGGTCAGCTTTCCGCAATCTTGGTCTGTAAGAAGCGCGCGCGATGGATTGGGCGAATTGAAGACGTTTGAATCGGGAGCGGGGCTGATATAATGAGGTTTAGGTAATGTGCATATTTCCGTATTTCCGCCTTGGCTCGCGTTTTCTGGCTTAAGCGCGAGGTGGCGTGATGAGTTTGCAGGCATTTGAGTGGTTTCGATTGCAATATTTACTGGGGATCTTGTTGTTGAAGAAATGGGCTTTATCGATATCAGAACTATTATAAATAAGATGCTTGTTAGAGACGAGTTGGCAGAGTAAGCATGGCCAATGAGATGTTGACAAGATGAGTTGAACGCTCAAGGGGGTTATAAACTCTCGTCTTTGAATGATTGATGATTTTTCATCGTGTATATAGCTAAGATGATTGTTAAATGCCGAATAAATATTGCCAATTTCCCATTATATTAAAACGCCAAGTTTCTTTTCCCCTTGATATCCCATGTGAATAGCGTACACGTGCATAAGCGTCCAATCTGATAAAAGTACATGTAGCAAAAAGTAAAGTGAAGAAGAGAAGAGAAGTGAAGAGGGGAGCTTTTACGACACTGTCTGCCCATCTTCATTCATCTTTGCATTCAAGATAAACTCAAACGGATCAATCGACATGAGCGTCTCCACGTCAAACATTCTCCAGTCGAAATCCGGATCCTCAGCCCCCGGGATGCTCATCGCGGCTGTCTGGCCCTCGGCCTGCTGAAACGGCACGGCAGACGAGCGTCCGCTGTTCGGAGCGTAATAAGTCAGAGACATGGACGGCACAGACGGCGGGTATCCGGAGCCGGAGGTGTCGGAGGGCGTCATCAGATTGTTGGGGTGCATCGGTAGACCGGCCTCGGCGGCTGCGCATTGGGGGGTTCCGCAGAGGCTCTCAACTCCGCGGCAGGGGTTGGAACACGGGACGACGGTGCAGATGATGCGGTTGATGGCCTTGATGAGGATCTGGGTTTGTGATGGGGATGCCTCGTTGGTGGGAGTCATGCTGGACAGACAGTCGAGGGCAACGTGAAGCCACGGCAAGTGAGTTTCCACTTTGCTCTTGTCCTGGAGCATGTCGAAGCCCAGGACGTAACAGGCGCCCTCGAGGAAGAATGAGAAGTATTTGACCTCCTGGAAGAATGGAGTTAGTTCATTCTTGTCTTGGGATGTGGAACGCTTTTAGACGTACCTTGCAGAGGTGGTTGATCTCGCACGACTTGTTGATGTACTTGATGATCTGGCGGGCTGGCTCAACGCAATACTCGCATGCGGTGTCAAGCCATGTAAGCTCCCTGAGCTTGTCGCATGACTCGGCTCCTACCTGCGGCGCGGGAGTCCTGAGTTTGCCCCTGAGGACGAGGAATGGGCGGAACATTAACAGCTGAACGTGGTGATACACTAAAAACAAACCCATGTTAGTTTTTGGCGACACTTGTCAAGACGAATTGGGGTTTCTCAACGTACTTGAGGCGATGATGGTCTTGCAGAATCCGCATTCTCCTGTCCCCGGCTCTCCCTGGATGTCGAGGTGGACATCAAACAGCTGCTCCTCCGCATAGGCCTGCAGCTCGTGGCGAAGCTCCGTTGCCGCGTTCCACATGTGTAGTAACGACTCGTGATGCTGGTTATAGATGCGCGCCGCACACTTTGAGACGAGTCTCGCCAGCCGAACAAGCGCCAAGATGAACTTTTCCTCCGCCGGCACGGGGACTCCGCAGCCCGGGTCTGATATGGAGGTCGGGCGTCCGAGGCAGAAGCAAACCCAACTGTGGGATGGACGTTAGTGAATGCAATCGATCATCAAAGGCAAACAGGGGTAGTATAACATACGTTTCCATAATAAAGAGACTCCAAAAGGTCAACCGGCGCTGCAAGCAATCTCGCATCTGCCCTCGAATGCTGATCCCCCTATGCAGACCAGCTGCAACGGCTTTCCTTGACGCCACGCCGACGTATAGAAACGCAGAGTGTGGCCTCGACCTCTCGAGTTGGAACTGGGCCTGCAACAATGGAATGTGAATCGCCTGGATGTTGACCAGCTCGTCCAACTTGTCGGCTCCTTGTGATGCCCGTTGAAACAGGAACTGGGCCAAAGTTTCTTCTTCGAGGATGGATGCGCCAATGGCCATTGCCAGCATCACGACGACAACATCGGGAGAGTCGAAGGAGAACAGACCCGGCGAAGAGTACAGAAGCTCCGCACGGCGACGGAAATCCTCCTTGGTCAGGATAGGTAACAGATGCCAGAACGTCGCCAAGTACCGCTCCAGCACACGGTTGCACAGCTCCCTATCCAGGAACATGGCGGAGTAGTCGTTAGCCACCGTCGTTGACTTGCCATCAGCTAGATCACCAAAGAAGAGCTGTCGGTTCTGGAACAGGTCGAGTCCAGGGCCGACCTGGGCCACCTCTTCTCGCCGTGTCAGCGGAGTCTGGATGCCCGTGATGAGTCTGTAGATGGAGTGAAGCATGGAGAAGTTGGACGAGGGCCCATAGTGCAGCTGAATGATGGACGACGGCGAAGTGGTGATGGCCGCCACGCTGTGGACGTGGAAGCCCCAGCTGTTGTCGTCCTTTGGCTTGTCCCGACTCTCCGGGGTCACATTGATCGGAGCCGGAGTCTCGTCCGCATTACTAGCCCCGGACGACGAGACTGCACCGGCTGCCGGCGTCTGAGACTTGCGAGGCCGGTTCCTGGTCCGGACCCGATAGACGCACGACACGCTCCGGTTGAGACATCGGGCACAAGGTTCTTTGCCGTCACATCTCGTTTTCCGGACCCGGCAGGCCTCGCAGGCCTTGCCGATGTTGGTCATCTGAGCGCCGGAGTTTCACGATACGACGACTAAACAGAAATGTGGGAGTAAACGCCGAGTCGAACGGGGGAAACTGGAGATAAGCGGGATTTCCGGAAATGCAGCTCGCAAGGCGTGAGATGCTTCTCCTTTGGCTGGGTTTTGAGCAACGGAATAACAAAACAACAGGCCGTATACTATTCAATGGATCTTTGTATGTCTGGGGGGATACAATCGAGAGGGAGACAGCTGCATTTGTCAGCCAGAGGTTATCGATTGAGCATCGAGCTTTGAGCAGTTGCTAATGAACCCACAGGCCCGGCCGCAGACGTAGAATCACCAATGAAACGGTGTAGGATCGACAATTGCATCTGCAAATGATATCAAGGGACGGAACGCGGAATTAGCTGGTTGATATACCATGAGTCGTCGCGGCTCCAAAGCGCTATCGATAGTCTCATTTGCCACATGGTGTAAAAGGGCGTCGGAAATAGAGCGCTTGTGTGCAGTTCTGCTTACAATTCCGCCCTTGTAAATCCGACGCCTGTCCGCATCCATCGAAAGGGGTTTGAAAGGTTGAATAAAAGCTTAAATAGCATGACAGAGCACTTAAATTGGCCCGAGAACCAATCGGTTCGAAGACAGTTGCCCATGTCTAGTATTTATGCATGTCAATCTGCCACAACTGTGAAAACCAGGTTGCAGTAGGCAAGTTCAAGCTATGGCTTTGTAAGAAAGGCTCATGTAATTTATTTTTTATCTAACACCTTCTACAGCGCAACTCCAAATTAAACGAGTGATTGTCTCAGGTTCTCTGAGACAGATAGAAAGGTAACCTAAAATATCCTAAATAGAAGGTGAAGCAGAAAATAAACGAAAACAGTGATGATAAAAAGGATATGTAGAAAATGAAAGCCCAAATAAATGACCAAATACATGGTGTATAAATGACAAGGAGTCGCTCTGCATGGTATTATCATCACGTTGGCGGGCTAATCGTGAGAAGAAAAGAGGTGGTATGTGGGCATATATATATCGTCAAGTGCGTTGAATGGTAGCCCTTTTGGCGTCGTGGAAAGTCGCATAGATAAATGAGTCCAATTTTCTCAGCGCGCTGCGGCCAAGGAACTTGCGACTCGGCTTTCTCATTGCGTGACTACAACGAGTCTCTTCGCGAGAAACGCGTTGACGTGAAATTGGATCATAGTCGTGTATTGGTAGCCCCTTGTAGGTTTCATCATTGCATTCATAAAGCTCTTTCAATCCTCTGAGATCTTGCTCGGTGACTTGGAGTTGTCCCGGGTCTTCATAGTAGTTCATGATTGATCGGGAGTTCTTCTTTCCAATGAGGACACAGGGGAGATTTCTTCCCTCTTTGTGGTGTTCATCGGCAAACTCATGACGAAGTCCTAGAATATGGCCATTTTCGTGGGCCAAGATATTGGCGAGATGGGGGGCATTGGATAGTGCCAGATTGAACACGCACAATTCGCCCGGCACTTGATCCGGGAAGAAAGAGCTGGCGTAGGTTTTGCTGCATCTGCGGCTATCATACCTTACGACGAAGGTGGCTGAACCAATGTTATCAACTCCCAGGTCCTCAAAGCTCGCACCAATGCCCCTCCACATGCTAATTGCTTCTCGCATCGCTGCCTTTACCTGCATGCCTTCGGCAAGTGTCGGGAAGCTCTCAACATCAACCGTGTAAGTGAGTTTGGAATCTCGGAGCCAGCGTGATATATGGTCTCCTTGCCCAACACGTACTTCGGTATATCCGTATGTCTCGGTGACACATCTATATTTAGATACCGCTGTGTGCAGAGGGACGACAGTCCGGCGAAGAAATGTAGCTGGGGCGGCAACGCCAGTCTCGGTACTCGTTGAGAGGTCTCTCTCTTGGTCTCGACCTTTCTTTATCTGCGACTCAGGGTCATGACGGCTCGTCATATCTGAACGAACCGATGAAGTGAGGCGGTCAGAATTGGATATTGGCCCAAGAGTCTCCGTGTAACGTCTGTACTTGATTTCGCCGACATTGCCATTCTCATTATCGGGGGCTGTGAAGCTCATCATATTAATTGAGGCAACATCATGATCATCAAAGGAGGTCAAGATGTCCCTGCCTCTCTCGGAAGATGAGAGACTGATCCTAGGGTGCAAGACATCATCGCCGATGCCAGTAGCGAAGCTTTGGGCAGAAGCGTATATAGATGTGGCATGTCCTGATATTACAAGCATTTCATTAGCACATGATGCAACCGATACAGCAAACTTCACCCTAAGCATGCAAAGAAATATAATCTCCATACCGAGTGGTGTTGCTATTGTTTTCTCCTTCAAAAACGGCTTGGAGATCATTATAATGTTTGGCCTGCTTGTCGCGCGTCGAACCATGATGAACAATGATATTAGGACACAAGAAGTCGGCTAAAGACGTCCACTTCTTTTATGTATTGGGGCCTACATCTTGGGCGGCCGAATTGGTTTCCGTTACCTAGCCAAGAACCGCCCTTTTCAAACGGTCCAATCGCTGCCACAAGTGAACATAGCCCCATAACGCTAATGTACGGTTTCCTGTAAGACTGGAAGCCATTCCTGAGTGCGAAGTACTAGGTACCTCTAAACGTACCTGTATCCACTTTGTTTATATACGGACTGAATACAATAAAGGACTCTGCTTCCCAGCAAAAAGGCCGCGTGATCGCTGCGTTGATCATGAACGTTAAGTATCTCGAAGTACTGATCTAGATCTCGAGACTTGCCTTTAAGGGTACTTTTGGTAGCAGCTGAGTACAGGTAGGTACTCACAATTTGCGGCTATTTAATTGGCCACAATCCTGCTCTGAAGGATCGACCAGCGTGGCCGCGCATCAGTAGCGTGAGTGGTAATCTCGAGTCACCGTTTTACACCGGCCAACCTTAGACTGGAGTACATATTTAGAACCACCGTTTTACACTGATTACCACCTGGAGCGGCTATTTGGAACCACCGTTTTACACTGGTCACCCCTGGAGCGGCCGTTTGGAGCCACCGTTTGTTCCTGAGATTTACCTATTGCAGGCGCCACATCTTGTCCTTCGGGATAGGCGTACTTGCCAGCACGGGTGCCGAAGGCTTAGATGCCTTGAATAATATGGATTCAATAGTACCTTATGAGTGCGTGTTTTTCACTACAGGCTACGAGTGCTAACCTGCCAACCCTTGCTGACACATCATCGTCTTCATTCCCGGTCGCCCGACTCTCCCCCGTTCATTGTGACAGCCCCAACTGCCATGTCTACCAAATCAGCTTTCAACCTAGCCAAGCCATTTTATTCACATGCTTTCACACTTGTACTGTGAAAATGGTCGGCACCGGGGAGTATGTTTGACGGGACAATCGGATTGCTGACGCTATAGGGAGGATCGGATTTGGGTATGTTTTCTTGGCACCGGATAAATAAAGCGGGAGATCGACTGCTAGTGACCGTTGTTTTAGACTTCGACTAAATACCGGTGTCTGGCGCCCGATAACGTGTCTTTTTTCTTCTTCTTCTTTTTTTTTTTGGCACAATCCAGGGACAAATAACCCACAAACCTCAGGCTTACGAATCCTCAATTTCTCAGTGTGGTCGTACGGCTGTATTAATGCTGCGAGTGGTGTGTAATGCTACACACATGTATTTTCCACCGGGCCAACACTCGTGGCTTTAGTGGTAGTTCTGGTCGATTCGCCCGCCGCCCCACGAGCGGGACGAACAGACAGGTAAAAATCATTCTTTCAGCTCAAACGGAAATTTGCGTCCGGCAGCGATTAGTTGAAGGCACCATCTAAAGAGCATCGGGGAGCTAAGTAAGCCTACTAGGTAGGTACAAAGCGAGTCACACAACGAACGCCGAGGTACATGTACGTTACTGAGCACTCAATTGCTTTGATGCAAAGCCTGTGGACTGCAGCAGCCCCCATGATATTATATTGCAATAGCCTGCCATCTCTTACCTATGCACGAACCAGCTATCAACATTTTCCACGGACAATTTTTAGTTTGAGTCGTAATCTTGTATATTCATTGACATATAAAGAGCAGGATTCTCTGGAGAATCGGCTGCTTAAAAACTCGTAGTCCAAAAATACCCCCATCTATTGTTTACCTTGTCCAAAACTTCCTATAAAAGGCACCAGCGCTCAATCACCCTAAAGAAAAAGCGCGAAAAAGAAGAAGAAGAAGAAGAAGAAGAAGAAGAAGAAGAAGAAGAAGAAGAAGAGGAAGAGGAGGACGTTCAATGTAGGTGAACAAACAAAATAAGGATCAATGTGACAAGCAATACAAAGAGCATAAATAGCATGGAGAAAACGAAGATAAGGATACAGCCTTTGTATGAGATGGAAGGGTTGACGATCAGGCGATTCAGAAACGGCCAAGCTGGTGTGTGTGTTGCACTAATAGCGGCTGAATTGAATGCAGGCACATGATGGCTATTGGAAGGTAGAGAAAAAGTCCTTGTCTGTCAATCTTGTTAGCAAAGTTCAGTAAGGGCTAGTAATGTCATTTCCTCGCCACACTGCCTGTGTAGGAGGCCTTACTTTTGGATCGATGTCAGATATGGACAGCTCTCCTTCATCATATGCATAAAATCGCTCCAGCTCTTGGAGATCTTGTTGGGTAACTCGATATTCGCTCAACTGATCAAAGTAGTTCATCACGGAGTTGGCGTTCTCGCATCCGATAAGAATAGAAGGCCCAGGTTCTCTTTCGTGGGCAAACTCATGCCTGAGGCCCAAAATATGGCCAACTTCATGGGCCAATATATTGGCTAGATAATCAGTGTTGGTCAGGCCTGGCGCGAATAAGACCAACTTGCCTCCTGAAGCCCGTGGGAAGAAAGAGACAGCATAGACACCTTCGCTTAGGTCTTCGTAGACGACGGCGAATGTGGCTTTATCATGGCGCTCAACTTGTCTAAACCGTGCACCAATATCTTTCCACATAGAAGTGGCTGTTCTCATCGCAGCTTTTACTAGTATCGCCGAGTCCTCTGTCGGGAAGCTCTCGTCGCAGATGACGTAGCTGAGCTCAGAGCCTCTGCGCCAGCGAGATATTTGGCCCCCGAAGCCAATGCGCACTTGAGCACATGCGCTTGCCTGAGTGGCACACGATTTGTGAAGGAGCTTGAAAGTCTGGGTGGTTGTAGTGGTGTCATTGGGCTTGATATCCCCAGAGGCACCCTCGCCTTGGTCTCCATCATCATCCAGTTTCAAGCTACTGTCATGGCGGAAAAGCTCTTTGTCGTCCACAGACCCGAAGAGCCCAAGAAGAGGGCATCTGTCGTCGGAAGTCCCCTTCTTCGCTTTACCACTAGCTTTGTCAATGTTGCCATCTTCGGCATCAAGAGTCTTGATGCTCGACACGGCAATGGAAGCACCACCATGAGCAAGGCTAGGGACCGAGCCATTCATACCGTCCTCCGGGGATGAGTAGTAGGCTTTATCGAGTGGTGTGCCATGGCCATTGATGTGCGTGCTGCAGAATTTGGCAGAAGGCGGTTGAGTTGGGGTATCATCTATTAAAGGTACTACATGTACACAGACAGTCAGTCAGGACACTCCTAAGAATAAGACAGGCAGGGACCTACCTGTAAGGCAGACAATGCAAGCGGACATTATTCCCAGAACGCAAAATGGCTTGGAGGCTCAGGCATATACATGTAGGTAACAACTATCTTTGTGTTTGGCCGACAACAAGGCAAACAGAGCCGTGGGGAAAAGTGATCTTGCTGCTGCTGATCGATTGCCTTGGGTACATGTATGTATCGTGTACTTGGAGTCCAGATTGAACAAGGGTCTCCAAAGCATTAGAATCAAGGGACAAGACGATGGATGGCAATGTTGAGGTGGGTTGAGAAAGAGCTAGATAATTGCTCATCTTGGGGGGACAATCGTCTCTCTTATATCTGCTCACATCATGTACGTGGACACTGCAATAATGAAGCCTTCACCGGCGTGGCGACGTGTAGCGCCAACTCTCGCCAATCAGCGCACCTCGCTTCGGTTCCATGGCGCCCCCCCCCCCCCCCTCCCATAGCACCACCCATGCATTCTCCCGATCCTTAGGTACGTACCCCAGCGTCGAGGGGCTCTCCCAGATGATTTGCATCCGGATACGGAGTAGTGGACCGTTCCTAATGATAGTAATTGCTAACGTAAGGAAGCTAGCGTCTTTCTTCTCTGGGCGAAAACAGGGTTTAATTCTGGGGAGATGCACTATTGAATTTTGCGAGGTAATACAGTATCTGTGCCCTGGAGATACCTTTAAAGCTAAGTACTACTAATACCGGCGTATATTACATGTAATATGCCGCCCTGGATTATGATTCTACCTTATGTGCATGCACCTACACGACTGGCTCCGTGCCCCGTGATCCCACTGCGGAATAATATCCATTGCTGCGCGTATACACGCACTAGATACATGCGTGTACTATGTAAGTTCCGTCCACAGCAAGCATCACCAAGGTACCGCGGATAATACGGCCACGAATCAGGCTCCCATATGCTCTGGTTCTACTTGCAAAAATGTATGGGGGTGTGCTCTCCAATTTCCACCTCCTCGGACACTCCAACTATTTATACCCTTCTGCCTCTGCTATTCGTTCCCCAATCCGCTTGATAGTCTCTTCATCTTGCAGCTTCTCGAGGGATTTGTCTGCTTCAAAGATTTCCTTCTCGTGTCTCGTGGCTTCTTCCTTCGTCATACATGCCAAGCCTCTCAGCCTAATCGTGGAGTATTTCTGTTCGTCCTTGGCTTCTCTGACGGGCCGACATACTACATATCTCAGGCTTCTCCCATCTGATGAGAACCAGTTTTGTCTGTATACCGCTAAGAATGCTGCGACCACGATACATCCATCACACTCCATGTCTTAGGCTTCTTCCATCTGGTGAATACCAGCTTTGTCAGGATCCCACAACAAAGGGCGTGCCCCTCTTCTCCCCCCTACCCCATACCTGCCATCCTTTATGGATGAGACTCCACGTGGCGATCACCGACCTCAGCTTTGGGTTGCTCCGCACATGTAGATAAGATCCAGGAACGATTGGATAGCATAAAATCCCTAACATTAGCGGCGTTCTAGTGGGTGGGGAAACGATTTGAGGCTCAAAAATTGGAACCATGGAAGCTATGGAGAATTCTCGTAGTAGGCCTGGCACGTGGGGGACAGAAAACCCGAGATAAAGAAGATTATAAACACCTCCACGATGGATTATACACTAGCATATTCTTTTAATATCTACAGCTATATTTATCTAACTATAGAGTCCCTGCGCCGGTATACTAGTATGTACGTGCCGCATCTACTGCTCATTTTGCTATAACATATCCATATCTGGATGGTACATTTTTATCTAGCTTTTCCTATAGATGTATAAGAAGCGGAATGTCTGGCGAACGCATCTGGCTGCGGAGTTGTCGCTAGTTTTCGTTTCGACTAAAACATCCCCAACTCGGTTCCTGCTATTAATCATCTCCGGTTCAAAACCAAAAAAAAGAGCAGCGTGCAGTCATGAACTAGCGATGAAGAACGAGAAACATCTCAGATACGTCCAGGGCCCCCATTATTTGCTTTGCAACCTTCTTCGCCAAAGTGGCTCTCAGCAACGTGGAGGTTTTTGGCTGAGTTTCTTTGTGGTTGTGACATCCCTCAATGTACCTCCATGATTAATACAGAGAGCGGTACCCTCCTTTGAAGAATTGCAGCTGGTTTCATGGGGCGGTACGCCATGGTTGTTATGCGTGCTACATAATTTGGCAGAAGGCGGCTGATTTGGGGTATCCTCTATAACAGGCACACGGACAGTCAGCCCGGATACTCCTAGAAAGGATAGACATTGACTTACCTGTAGAGCGGATAGGGTGGGCAGAATCTGGTTTTGCCATCTTCAGCTAGCGAGGCTACAGCTACGTGACTCTGGCAGAGCAACAGCTTGGAAGGCAAACGGGGTTGGAGTTCTTGGTAGCTGACTCTACTGCATGCAGTGCAGAGACAACAGTTCCAGATTCAGAAAGAGTGCATGTGCTTAGGCAGAGAAAGCAAGAGTGAAGGGCTGTGTGACGATGTTCTTTGAGAGGAGCCGGTGTATTCTCCATGTTGAGGCCAACCCTTCCTTTTATACCTCGTCAGTTGACGGAGAGAGACAGTTTGTGTTTGACCTGTGGACCTGAATCGCCATTAGCTTGTGCTCAACCGCTGCGAGCCAGCCTTACTCACATCCATGGATGAGATTGAGTATTCACCGTCGCGCATCTTCACAACGCCCACGTCATGTACGGCGGATAATATAGTCCTAGGAGGCATCCGTTGTTGTGTTTTTTTGTGGTTGGCGCCTGGAGATACGCATGCCCTCAAGTTTCCGCTTTCCCCTCGGGGTGCTCTATCCATGTGTCGACACTGTTCCGATTCTATCTACGGCACCATTCATACATGTACTCTTCTGCCTCTGCCATTCCTCCCTCGACTCGCTTGATGGTCTCTTCTTTATACAATTTCTCGAAGATTTCCTTTTCGTGTCTCGCGGTTCTTCCTTCGTCATACACGCTAGTCTCAGACCTGTACCAGCTGGCATTTATGTTCGTCTTTATCTTCTCCAAGAACCGTGATACTGCCTGTCTTAGGATTCTTTTATAGCCCAACTTTCTGCCATGGACTTGATAGGAGATAGCGTTTGTTTTTTGTTAAACAAATAGGAAAGAGAAATATAAACGGTAAGCTGGTGTTACAGTGATTCCAATTGATCTAAAGCCATTAGTGACAAACTGATGGATAGATGGCTCAATGTAAAATAAACTAAGAAGTGAAAAGAGAAAGAGAAAGAGAGAAAAAGCAAAGCAGCTTAAATTCTTAGACCATCAAGGCACTAACATAGTGTATCCTTGTGAATCCATCCCAGTATGTCGGCCCAAAACCCTATGTTGAACGGCTAAATCAAAGACATGAAACTGTGGCTAGATTTAAAAAAGGGAGATGAAACAATCTAAATAGCATAAAGTGAATATAGCGCCGCTGTTTTAGCCATCATTGAAATTTGCTTTTGGACAAGTTAGCACGCATGCTATGCAGCGGCCGCCCAATCCACGCAAGATGCAAGAGCTGCGGCGAGATGAGCAAGAAATCCATCAATGGTCTTCTCAGTCAAATTTAGCAAGAGAGCCGGCGGTTTAGCTTCTTCGCCTCATAATCGGCACTGCTGCGTTCGCTGAAATGGTGTGACTTTGGAGAGACATCAATCACCGGCATCCCTTTGTACACCGGTTGGTCGTACGCATAAAGCTCCTTCAGTCCTTCGAGATCCTTCTTGGTGACTTGAAGTTTGCTCAGGTCCTCGTGGTATTCCATCACCGACTGAGGATCTTCGCTTCCGAAACGAACAGAAGGGACATGCGCTTCTTTTTTATGGGCAAATTCATGTCGGAGACCCAGAACGTGGCCGATTTCGTGGCTCAAGATGTTGGCTAGGTGGTTTCCATTGCCCCCAGCGAAAATCTTTGGGTACAAGAGCAATTCCGCCGGTTCTGCCCTGGGGAAAAAGGCGTAGGCGAGGTAATCGCTTCTTTGACGATGATCGTAAACAACAGCAAATGCGGCGGGTTCGTAGCGCTTGACCTCCTTGAAGGACGCGCCCTCGCCCTTCCACTTGGTAATCGCTGCCTTCATACCATCTTTCGCTGCCATCGCCGAATCCTTTGAAGGGAAGCTCTCTTCACAAATGAGGTAAGTAAGTTCCGAACCCTTGAACCAGCGTAGAATCTGACTGTCCCACCCAACACGCACGGCAGCACATCCGTGTGGTTGTGTAGCACATTTGCGCTTGGCACGAGGTGCGGCCGTGTTGGTGGCACTAGCCCTAGTTCTAGACGAAGCTTTTTCAGCCTCATCCCCAGCTTCGTCTCCAGCCTTGTCTTTTTCTCCATCAATCTTCAGTACCGGGTCGTAACGTAGGGGGCCTTCACCACGAGTCGGCACATCAAGCCACGGCAGTAGCATGGTGTGCCCAATGACGGCGTTACATGCGTTGTTATCGCCATGTTCAATGTTTCCATCGTCAGTGCTGAGGTCTGTGACGTTGGTTGCATCAGTCAAGGCATCGCCATGATCAATGGCACTGGCCGAAACGCTCATCTCCTCGTCGGAGGATGAGCAACTGGCTTCACAAGATATCGCGCCATTGTAGCCTTTTCCAATGTCATTGTGACTGACATTAGCTTGGTAATTCACCAAGGCCCATGGTTCAGACGTATCTCGCATAGTCTCTGTAAATGTCTGATTAGCAGAGGTTGAACTGGCACACGCTATCAAACACCATCGCGGGTGAAGAGAGGGATACACTCGTCATACCAGCCGTTCCCACCATCATTAGACTCATTATTGGAGGCGACTTGGAGGATCTCGCACTGCTCAGTTGTGGTCAACTGAATTGAACTGGGTTGGAGTAGATGTACTGGAGTGAGATCCTGTGCTCCTTTGTCAGTCGGCCCTTGATCTATCGGGGAGCTTGAGGCCATGGAGCCAGACAGAAGAGAATGCGGATTATGGCGTGATAAAGAATGACCAAGACATGATTGAGGCTGGGGAACGCATTTCGCCTTATTTATTCGTGACTCGGTACGTGGAGGTCAGATGTGTTTGACCGCGAATGCATTATGACTCGTCGATATTTTCTGTACCTCACTGTTAAGTGATGTGTGTAAGATGATGGAAGTCCCGATCCTGTTCCCCTAGCCCGACAGGTAGTTCGGGCGTTGGACACGTCGACTACTTAACGAAGATACTCTTCTGTCTGCTAAGAAACACGCATTCTCGCAAGTATATGTAGATAATGGTCGATACATGGAAGACATGCAGGGACACGCACCCAGTCAGTGGCTTCGCTTGACGACGATGCACCGGCGAGCATCCGCGCGAGGATTGATTGTGAAGTGTCCGCCTGCCATTGGGCGACGATGCGGGCCTCTTCGCTTTGCCATGCCATTCGAGCCGCGATTGATGGTTCGCGGGCACGTTATTCCTACGTGGACGAACCAATCTTTGTCTTTGGATCCCCGGCCACACCCTTACAATACGCCAGTCACTTTATGAACTACCGTCATATTTACCTTCACCGGTCCGTCGCCAGCCATTCCTACAAGGGCCACCCATCACTTACATCTGCACGGGGTAACAGGCACCGTAGCGACCTCGGGCCATATCACGCCAATCAGTTTTATGACATGTCATCCTATGACGCAAATGCATGCAGAAGCTGAATCCATTGTGCTTTGCATGTGTTTGTTCTCGCGCTCGCGCTCGCGTTTTCTCGGGTAATCTACCTACCATGTCTATCTCTTTTGCGCTCTTTAGAATGGGACGGAGTCCTTGCGAGCCAAAGTGCCGAGTCTACCAGACCAGCTTTCTATCCCGGCCTCTTTGTCTATCATGTTTCCAACTGACTGATGATAATGCCTTTTGTGAAATGATCAGCCCTAGGGAAGATCGTATTCGGGTATCTTGACACTGACACCGGGGAAGTTTCCTAGCGGGAGACTACTAAAGTGATCGCTGTCTTAGACAGCACGCTGCCCCAGATGCTAAATCTCGGTATCCATGCAGCCGAGGTTAAAAATGGCTAACATCGGGATTGTCTCTATTTTGATCCACCAGCCGAACTACATACAATCTTAGGTATTGCAGTTAATAGTATGCAGACGCATCTTCTTGAGCCTCCTACGTGTACATGCACATCAATATGCTCTCCTCACGATAGGCGGATAAATACTACTAGTATAGTACTTGTTGGTGAGCGGGACGGGACGGGAGGCAACGGGAGGGACCACTCTCTCTGTACTACTCGTATCCAATGGACGTTTTTGACCATCTAGGCATCTCTGCTGTACTCAGAGTCTCCATACAGCCGTGTCTCCCCCAACGCTATATGTACATGTAATTATCACCACTGGTTTCGCCCCTTTTGTCAGAGGTTACGCTGCATCTCAGATTCTGAGTAACAACCTCAGAACCCGTGATACCACCCACTGCAGATGACAGCGGCGCTAGGCCGAGATGTGTAAATGCACATGTAGGCTCTATGGCCACGTCACTAAAGGATTTAGTAGCCTCGTTGTCAACGTCATTCCGAGGAGAAATGGTCTCTGCACCGAAACGATAATATCGGCAGGCCGCCAGACTTGGAGTAACCTTGCAGTAGTTCAGTGTATAGTTAATAGGTATGTGTTAAGCATCACAATAACCGTATCAGTAAATGAGTCTTCGGCGAGGCTGACGGTATCAATCGATAAGGCGCAAGAGTCTGAGGCAGACTGAGCAGGTGCATGTAGATAGCCTTGATAAAAATGAGAGCGTACCCAAGTATGGGCTGGCGAGAAAACACCTTGATGAAAGATTTGGCGATGCATTTCTTAAACGCTGCATCGTCTACCACAGCTGGAGCAGAAGGACAACCTTGATGTCAACGAGAATCATCGATACTAGGCTTCAAAATCAGCAAATTCCCTTAGAACCTGCTCCATATACTAAAGAGGTCACGGAAATGTTCGATGACAGATGAAAAAAAAAAGAGAGAGAGATACCAAATGTATTATATACATCTGATACTGATGCTTGTGCCGACGGGTTATCAACATTCCCCGCATGATGTGCCCATGAAAATAAGCAGTAATCTATGACCTTTGTACCTAGTATGGAGAGTTCGTGTCGAGGCTCACATAACGCGGGCTCTTAGTCAACCATGGACAATGTGTCCATGGTTGACTAATCTAACCAACACAGCACTTCGCTCGCGTACTCTTTACTTGAAGGGGAGAGCGCGTATTTCTTGAGTATTAGGTAGTGTATTCCTGTTTTTCCCAAGTCACGATATTTTCCCAGTCAGCGTGCCCCCTCCCTCCTGATACTTGAACCATCGCGAGGACCAGGTCAATTTTGAGACCTCCCTTGGCATGCCGCTGGTCATTCCAAAAAAGCCCAAGTTGTCGTCTTATAGCTCGTGACAGTCCGTCACCATTATCCGTTCCAATGTCGCCGATTACAATCTTGGTGGGATCGCCCTTATATCCTGCTCCCAAAAGTCGGATGACGGGTAACATACTATCGTAGGAACGCTTCAAAAGAAATATATATATATATATTAAAATCTAGTTCATTACCATCTTTCTAGGGTGCCACAAACAGTGATAGCCGTCCATGTGTGTTACCAGGCATAGCAGAACCAGGGCCAGCTTAACCGCTCATATGTGCACCTAATGAGATTTTCCACAAACTTTCTTTCTCCAGCTAAGCCGTCATCTATACTCCCATTAATTTATTCGCTACCTAAAAGAAATTTTCCAAAAAATTATATACCTGCCAATTTAAAGTCTAATCCTCGCCATCCAGTGTTTTGTTATCCAAGTATATGTAACGGTCCTGATTTGGCGCCAAGCGCCACCTCGTATTGTAAGAAAAGAAAAGAAGAGCGGACCAAGCATTAAAGAAGATATAAAATAACACCAATTATCGCTAATGCCATTAAGAGAATGGGGAGTATGAAGAGAAGACGACGATTCTCGAACAGAAGGGCAGTCTTTTTCTTGTGGGTATGGGTAAACTCGTGTCGAGGGCCTGGAAGACGACCAACTTCGTGGGCCAAGATGTTGACCAGGTCGTTTTATTGCCCTCAGAAAAACTCAGTGGGTGCACGAGCAATCCGCCGGTAGCGGCCGCAACGCTCTAAGAGAGAAAGCCAGCCATGTACAAAAGAAGAAGTAGGCTGAGGATGAATGTCATCAGTATCGTGTAAAAGATCATGATTTCAACGTTGGACCCATGCAGAAACGGGCGAGCCGGTGAGTTTGTCATCTCAATGGCAGCTGAAGTGACGGAAGATTCTAGGTCGCTACTAAAAGGTGCGATAAAGACGCGATTCTGTCAACATTATCAGCGCAATTCAGTGACCAAGCTGGCGATCAGATTCCTTGGCTCATCGTCTTTGTCAAAAGGCCTTACCGCTGGATCGATGTCACGTATGAGCAGCCCCCCATACTCTACCCTATCGTCTTCATAGAAGCGCTTGAGTTCTTCAAGGTCTTGTTCTTGAACTCGGAAATCGTTAGGATCGTCGAAGTAATTCATAACTGACTGGGGATTCTCGCTCCCAACAAGAAAAGATTGCATTCCTATTCCATTCTCACGGGCATGGGCAAACTCGTGTCGAAGGCCTAGAATATGGCCGAGTTCGTGGGACAGAATACCAGCTAGGCATTCGGCCGCTTGAAGAGTGGTGTATTCATAGACGGTCAGCTTGCGTCGCGCTTCATTTGGGAAAAAGGAGCGAGCATAGACTGCTGGGTCTCCCTTCTCGTAGGTGACGGCGAACGTGGCTGGATCATTGCGGCCAACTTGCTTAAAGGTCACCCCAATATTCTGCCACTTACTGACCGCTGCTCTCATGGCTTCTTCTATCGGGAGATGGTGTGGGAAATTCTCTCCGCAGATGACATAGGTGAGTACGGAGCCCTTGGGCCAACGTGGTATTTCGCCGCCAAAGCCAACGCGTACATCCGCACACCCGTGTGGTTGGGTGAGACATGTACGCTTGGCGTGTGCGGCCGCAGTGTTGGTGGCACAAGACGAAGCGGCACTGGACGGAGTAGCACCAGGCGAAGCATTTTCAGCCTCGTCTCTTTCTTCATCGTCGATCGTGAGTTCTCTAACGTAGCACAGCGCAGCTTCGCCGTCCGTCGGCCCATCAAGCAAACATGAAGGCATTGGGAGTATGTGCGCAACATCGGCTTTATTTGCGCTGTTGTTGGAGCTGTCGGTGTTTCTGTCGTCGGTGTCGAGGTCTGTGGTGATGCTCGTTGCAACAGCCGATGCATCGCTGCGATCAGTAGTACGAGTCGAGACACTCTTGCCCTCTGCTGAGGATGAACGACTGGCTTCGTCGAGGTCCTCCGAGGTCCCGATACTGTAGTCTTTTCCAACATGATTGCCACTGTTATTCTCATGGCGATAACCCAATGCCCATGGCTGAGAAGTATCTCGCAAGATGCCAGCAGACATTGGCTCCATGGTTCGAGATGGCGCGGAGGCTCTCGTACAACTTGGTTATGGCGAAGCGAATTGAGTTTGGTTGGGATGAATGGAGCAGCTGTTGGTCTTGGAGCTGTGGGAGAGCCAAGGATGGAAGAGCCAAGAGGGAGAAGCTGCTCATAATAAGGTAGTAGCTTATAAAAGGGACCTGGAAGGGAAAAAAAAAACGGTGACATTTGGGCATGCGTCCCATCCCATGAACTGATTCGTTCCAACCTTCATGCCAAGGTCAGATGAGCTAAAGCTTTGTCCACTCACCCACCACCGCCAGTGACTTGACGGGGTTTATTTCCTAATGGAGGATACTCCGATGGAAAATTACGAGGGGCGCACGCAACTATCGCAGAGAGCGGAAGACGTTGGAGATGGTCCAGGAACCAGCCGGATCTCGACCTGTCGAGTGCCGTCATCGATCTCCACCCGTTGCATCTTGTCCGGGGGTGCTGGAATACGATTCGCGCTATAAAATGCCATTGGAACCTGTGTATTGGGGTGTAGGAGAGCACGGCGGTCTCATCACGTTGCACGCCGGCCGTTGGGATAGCGCGGCTCGCAACCTTGGTCGTCTGGTGATGATGTGCTACTCGTATGCGCGTCGTCGGAGCAAAGTTCAATGCTTCATTGCCTGTCGCGTTTGCTCCAACAAAGTGTACTGGGATCCCTCTGCGAGTTTCAGGGTGCCTGGCCCACGTGTTCTCCCCATACCTTGTCTTTTCTTTTCCAGCCGCCACCTCGCGATACAACTCGCAGCCGGACAATAAATGACCAGTCATGTTTTGCCCAGCACTCAGCTTTGTTCATCGCCCCATCGCAATTTATCGAGGAAGCCGATGCCTGTCTCGAAAATTTTCATGCTCACCCATGCCGCACTCTTCGACTTGTAATTCAGAGTGTTGGGTTCCTGATCTAGGTACCTGGTAGTCATACTACCTTAGACGGCGTATCAGCGATGCCATCACGGTTTGGCGATATGCATGGTTAACGGCGATGTCTTGATGACTGCCTGATGCCTCTAGGTACCTGTACTGCCAAAGTACTTTTGGTCGCTGTTGTACTTGTAGGTGTTGCAGCTCTTTTTGTTCTTGCGTCTGCACGGGGCAGCAGTGGCAAATACTCGTACATGCCCATCAGCCTCACATGCGAATGCAAGCATTGAAAGAAAATGATCCTGGCCCGACTCCGCATGCTTCGCAGTTGTTGTTTTTCTTAGTCTACTTGCTCCCCCTTTTTTTCGGTGAAATGCCACGTTTGATAATCTCCTTTGAGGCGCTACGCATGCGGCCATGCCATGGATGATGATACCTCTTATCACGACTTGAGACTGTACGGAGTGGCTAAGCTGGGGGTTCCCGGATATTTCCCATGACCGTGCAGCCACAGAAGCATCATGTCCAATGGGTATCTCAATGGATCGTTTCACTGATCGAACTTTGCCCAGGGTCAAAAGTACCACAGGTCCCCGTACCTGTACTAAAAATATCGGGCACGGTACTCCATGCTCGGCTATCTTGTCGTAGTGCGAGCTAGGTACCTTTTAGTCCCTAGTGGGTACCGGGAGATTAGCCTGCTCCAGAAGGATCTGCGCATTAGAGTGTTGCTCCACACTCTTCACGGCACGGTAACCGCTCTCCTCGTTACCATTTGTTTTTAAATGTCGAGCCGCAATATGTAATTCAACTTCCAGGCAATGCCCGTGTAGGTAGTCGTTCACTCTCTCTCGCACCTCGTCGCTTTCTTTACAATAGGTAGGTACTGGATTACTACCTAGTAGGTACTTCCTGGGTACCAGCGTACCAACCCTAAGGGGAACCACTTCCAGGCGTCCAAGTGCTGAACGAACCTAAACTCCCGTTTTTACCCCCAATCACGAATCCAGGCTGAAGCGATTGGCCTCGCAGCACCCCTGCGGGATTAGATCAAGAACCTTGTATTTTGCCCAGCTCCGCCCTGATGCTGTACGAAAACGAGTACCTACTGAGTGGATTCGCCCTCCCAAGCGCAGACCGGCGACCGGCGGGGGCCAGGTGAAGCACAGATATTGACAACATGTCTGGCATCTTTTGCTATTTCGCCAACAAAGCCGCACACTGCTGACAATCAAATTAGCCGGCTGGTCCAGCTCGCACGTTGTTTTATCAGGAGCCAAGCTGCGTATGAGATCCTGAGTACCGGTATCAAGGCGCGTGATATTATCCGTCCAGATGCCGATGATGCGAATGGCCTCTATCGACGCGTCGCCAAACAGACTGGTGCCCTCATCGCCGTCATTTCGCAGAGAGGTGGTGTCTGCGCCAAGAGTGAGAATATCAGCTGAATTGTTGACCCTGCCGTTGGCTCTTGTTGATTACAGGCCAATCCCGTCAGCCTTGGTTGGTTGGTCTTTTGCTACCACCCCGTGAGCACGTGGTAGTTTAATAGCAGCGTCGCACCATCTCCAATCTGCCGTGGTCAAAGCGACGCTGCATATCCAAAAGGGTAAATAAGCCATCCAGATGGTTTGTGTTACCACCTGTCAACACCGGTTTGGGAATCACCCGTGTTCGAAATGTTCTTGTGCCCTGCGCAATTTCGCGTCGTTCGGCTGTACCTGGCAAGGCTTTTGCTGCCCCGTAGCGATATCGAGTTCCGAAAACACCAAACAGGCCACCCACTGATACCGAAGCTTCTTGACACACCGAATGACGATGAGTTGCAAACGGCTGAGCCTACCAATGGCACTAAGCGTCCTTTGTCCCCCCCTTTTTTTTTTCTCTGTGATATTCCTCCTCTCTTTCTTTCGCACTCTTCCGGGTCGATCGGGACGGAGGATCGAGTTGATGATAGAGCCACGCCATGGACCAAACGTCTCATCACATCCTGAGAAGCGTTTAATCGACTTTCCAGTAGCCATCGTAATCTTGCGGCTGCTGTCGGTGCATCAGCAGGTTGAGCCTCTCATTGTTTCTAGTCTTTGCTAGTTCATACCGGCTTGTTCTTGAGGCCCAAAATGCAAAGTACACCAGACCAAATTTTCTTGCGGGACACTCTTTGTATTTATACTTCGTTACTCTATCTTGACGCTAGGTAGCCATCAAGATCAACCGAACGGGTATCTCCGGCAGGGGAATTTTCGCCGGAGAAATCTCTGATTGGAGAGTTTACGTCGGGGAAATCTGTGATTGGGAAACCGTATCAACTAGAGGTTGTTTCAGCGGCTGTTCGGGTATCTTGAGTCGGGTAAATTCATGGAGGTAACACTGTTAGTGGGATATCAAAGAGGGATTCCCATTCAAGGGTCTGGAACCGACTGGTAATACCTCGTGTGTGCCGAGTTACTCGTACTCGTACAATCAGAACTGCAAGCATCGTGTCGTCGCATTCGCAGTTCCAGGCGCGTGTACGAAATTCGAGCAGTATATTCTGTTTGGTTGTGTGCTATCCTGGCTTTTTCCTCCCCAATGGGTCCCCCCCGAGTTTTCCTTTTATCTATCCTCCTTTATTAGTCATTGTGCCTGGAATAGCTCTTTATTGTATGGATGCGTATGTGTTTTGGTTGTCCGTTCTAAACACTATTAACTAGTAGGTATAGTAGCTAGGGTAGATCTCTTTATCCTCAAGGGGCTGGATTATGCTACTTTATTACCAGTATCGTTCATAGAGAACACACAGATAAACAAACAAACAAACAAACAATAAAAACACGATACGGTTACGGAGCATGAAGAGTCGATGCTCTTGCCGGCAGAAAGATCCGAACTCCCACACCAACGAACTCATCAACTACCACCGCGTTCGCCACCGACCGCAAATCACCAACCCCCAATCACCGACCCCCAATCCCAAGCCACGAATCGCGGATAAATAAGCCACCCATTCAAGGTAGCTAGCTACACAGCCTCACTAATACGAGCATGTAATACTAGGGCTGTTTACACATTGATGTTTCCAGCCAGCTACAAATTCCGCCATGTAGGGGCAAGGTAATGCAAGTGCATATGTGTCTGAGAAACCTCCTTGATAGCAGACTAAGCGTACAGTTCTAGGCCGCAGTATCGTCTACGGACCACGTGAAGTCGCTTATAACGCTCCAGAGTAGGTGTAGGGAAACTGCCTGAATGTTGACGGAGCAATTGATATGCCGCGGGCGATTCCGGGGAGCTTAGGTCGTTGTCTTGCAGTTCGTAATACTCTGCCATCTTGACGCGCTCCACGGTCGATGATTGCAATTTTGGTGGCATTTCCTCTTTTTCCTGCGCGCGTAGAGCTGATGATAGGCAATTTATTGTCGCAATAGTGCTTCACTAGATCAACGTCTGTGTCGATGGTGTCGATAATGAAACTTCCCCCTATTTACCTCTTACGAGGATGCTAGGAACAGTGAAGGTCCACGTATGTCCTTGAATGTACATAGACAGTCACTTCACTGACCTTAATAGTACTCACCTTGGCCCGGCAGATTTGGAGTCAATCATGCAAGCACGCGCAGTTACAGGATCAAGGTTCACAGTCTATAAATCGCCCGTGTTGCCCTAGAAAAGCGGCGAGATTTTCACAATCTTTTTTCTATCCAAGCTATAATCCACGGTTCTTGCATAATTCGCGTTTCTATTAATTTATCACTCAGGCGGAAAGAAAAGGACAGACAGAAGAGAAAGACGAAAAGAAAAAGAAGAAGAAGGGGCAGGGGGGAATTCGTTAACCCATAGTCCAATCCTCGCCATGATCCGTCTAAGTACTACTAAGGTACCCAAGCGCTACATCGCCCTAACAGAAAAGAAAAGAAAAGAAAAAAAGAGCCAGGCAAGTGCAAAAGAAGAAATAAAATAGCACCCATCATCACCGATACTGTGAAGAGTATAAGGAACGGGACGACAAGAGTGTCGGCTCTATGCTGCATCGTGGTGCCGACGCCGAACCAATTCAAATATGGACGGGTGGTCCATATCGTTCGTGAACGGCGGTTGCAGCAATATAAGATACTGGAGTGTTACTTGAAGGCCAAGAAGAAGAAGGTGATGCCTGCCGTCTTATTAGAGTAATTCAGAAAGCGAATCGGTATCACGACTCATCATCATTATCTTGCCGAAAAACCATACCTTTGGATTGACGTCAAGGATAGATAGTTTCCCATATTTTACCTTGTCATATGCATAGAAACGTTCTAACTCTTCAAGATCTTGTTCCCTTACTTGGGGTTGTTCTGGGTGGTCAAAATAGTTCATAATCGAATCGGGATTCTCGCTCCCAAACAGAACAGAAGGACATCCTTTCTCTCTCTTATGAGCAAACTCGTGTCGAAGGCCTAGGATATGACCAACTTCGTGGGCCAAGATGTTGGCCAGGTAATCTGGCTCTCGGAGACTGGACGGGTACACGAGCAATTCGCGCGACGGTTCATTAGGGAAGAAAGAGCAAGCATAAGCCTGTCTATGGCGGTTTTCATATATGACTGCAAATGTTGCTGGATCATTACGGGCGACTTGTTTAAAGCTCACACCAACGTTATTCCACATGCCGATTGCTGCTTTCATGGAGTCTTCCACCAAGGACGAGAGAGGGGCAGGGAAGCTTTCGACGCAGACGACATAGCTGAGTTCAGAGCCTCTCCGCCAGCGTGGTATTTCGCCGTCCCATCCAATGCGTACTTCGGCACATCCATGCGTTTGTGTGACGCATCTATATTTAGTAGCTGCTGTAGGAACAAGACAAACCTCTTGGCCACGGCACCCAGCTGTAATGTTGTTAATAACCTTCGCAGCTAGCAAGATATCTCCAGCTTGGTTTCCATCACTATCCGTCTTTGGTCTATCATGAACCGGTAAAGAAGAAATGGAAAGGCCGGATGTGCAGAAAGGAGGCTCTATACGCTTGTAGTTGTGTTCTCTCATATTGCTGTGCCCAGGATTAGGGCTCAAAATGGTCGTCTCGGTAATTGAAGCAGCATCATTAGCGACAGAAGAAGGAATGCTCATTTCGCACTCTGCAGACATGTAGCCCATTTCACTGAGCGGTACACTATGGATGCAAAAGCTAGTGTTATAGCATTTGACAGACGGCCAGGGAGCCGTGGTATGGGGAGCCTTGTCATTCGATGCAGGCAGGGGCGTCTTCATCATCCACACACTCTTTTCGGCTCCAAGAATGGCTCACCTCTAAGGCTACCACTGTGTTGCCCGCTTGTGAAATTTGGATCGAGTATGAAAAGATTTGAGTTAGAAGCAGGTTCACTCTGGCTGATTGGTTCTGCTTCGGCGGTTCAAGGTGAAGACAAGGTGCTCAGTCAGCAAGGTTAGGAGAATGGATGTTTAAAGAGGTATCAAGAAAGAGAAGTCGTCGAATAATTCAACTTGGGGTGGGCATCTCTTATTATATTTGCAATAATATATATATACTAGTGTAATATTTGTTGCCTCCATCAATGGGAAGAGGCCCGGGTTTGTATAAACAGGTCGCTGCAACCAGAGGAGAGGAAAGCAGTAGTGGCTTCAGAGCCAATCAGAGAATGCCAGAGGTAGGTATTTTACAGTAGCTCTGAACCCACCTACAAAAACGGGGTTACTTCACAATCGATAAGACTCGCCAACAAAACAACACAAGCCACAGAGTTTTTCCCTTCTCTCAACATTGAAGATTTCTTCTCATCTCCCACACTACATCACCTTCACGCTGCAGTGCACGAAGCTCCCTTGAGTCCAATGCTCTCAACACCGATTCAAAGCTCAAGACTACATCGAGTCTGGAAAACGCTCGAGTCGGCATCAACGGTAGGACTCCGTGTTTCTCTTGTTTCTCGTGCGTGAATTCGCAGCGCATCCATGCCAGCCACTCAATCTCTCCACGAGTCTCTCTTCCTTGCGCGGCGCGTCTTGCGTTTGCGCCTGGAAGGGCTGGCGTATCGGTTGCAGACGAGACTATCTCGATAATCTCGTCTTCTGTTCTGCTGCAAGACAAATGGACCTTCATAGTCCATGCCGATTCGACTTCCCTCTGGGGATGCTGCTCACCTCGGTGTGGCTCCTAGCGATCCTACATTTGCTTGCCTTTTGTGACTGAACGCGTTTGTAAAATTGCCCTAAGCATAGGTACTGTCCGAGGTGCTGTATGTCCGGAACACTGTTGCCGTGTTATCCAGATATGGTGTTGCATTCGCTGGCTATAACTATAACGCCCTTTAAAGCCGAAGAAATGGTGTACTATTTTCGTCGCCCACGGCTTGGAGCCCCAAAAACCTGAAATGCCGCCTTCCAACGTCCAAATGTGGGAGCGCGTGCATGAATATCGAAAGGTACCCTCTAGGAGTAATCACTTACGTCACCCCCGCTGTATCCTCCGCCATTGTATTGCCTTATCGTCCAATCTCTTACAGTGGTTAAGTCATGAGGTACAAGTACCTCAACACCACTGTTTACATCGTCATTCTCCTCATTTGCTACATACCTAGTATCCTAGAGAGCCTTCTTACAAGTGTCCTTGGCAACAACTATTTCATTTTAGCCTATCCCATTCCTTCCTATCGTCTCTTCTGTTGCTTTTTGAATAGCTCGGATCAGCCATCTTGTTTCCCTGTAAACCCACTCCTCACCATCTCACCATGGGCTCCGTCAAGTTTGGAGACCTCCCGCTTAGCACTATTGGCCCTCTGGATTGCGCTCTCACTGGAACGGCACTTCTGAATAGCCCCATTTTCAACAAGGGATCTGCCTTTCCGCCATCAGAGCGTCAAGAGTTCAACCTGACGGGACTGCTTCCAGCAAATGAGCAGTCCCTCGAGCATCAGGTTGAGCGCGCCTATCAGCAATACCTGTCCAGAAGCGATGACCTAGCCAAAAACACATTTCTGACCTCATTGAAGGACCAGAATGAAGTGCTGTACTTCAAGCTGCTGCTCACTCACCTCAAGGAAATGTTCAGCGTAGTCTATACTCCAACCGAGGGTGATGCCATTCAGAACTACTCTAGGCTTTTTCGTCGCCCAGAAGGTTGCTTCTTGGATATCAACCATCCCGAGAACGTGGAGCAAGATCTTGCCCTTTGGGGAACTGCGGATGATGTCGACTATATTTGCGTGACAGGTATACTTGTCTTCTGATCTTCCGTCTTGTTTTTCACTAACTGTTTCTCAGACGGCGAGGAAATCCTTGGAATCGGCGATCAGGCATGTCGCGGCTCTACCATGAATACCGAAATGATTTCACCTTCATCTAACTAACCTTCTTTCTCGCGTTAGGGCGTTGGAGGCATTCTCATATCGGGAGCAAAGCTGACCCTTGCGTCCCTTTGCGCTGGTGTTCATCCCAACCGAACTCTCCCGGTAGTCATAGACTGCGGCACAGACAATGAAGACCTGCTCAATGATGATCTTTATCTCGGCCTCCATCAACGTCGAGTAAGAGGCAAACAATATGATGATTTCATCCAGACATTTGTCGAAGCGGCTCGGAAGCTGTTCCCGCGAGCTTACATCCACTTTGAGGACTTTGGTCTTAAGAACGGTATATTCCCTAATTTCCGGGGTTTAGCTTTAAGATGCTAAGTTAGACTACAGCTCGGCGTCTGCTAGAACTGTATCGTCCCAAGATCGCCTGCTTCAATGACGATGTCCAAGGAACAGGCTGTGTGACCCTTGCTGCCATCATGGCTGCTCTCCATGCTAGTAAACAGAAACTCAGCGACTCCCGCATGGTCATTTTTGGTGCGGGAAGTGCTGGAGTTGGCATTGCAGATCAAGTCAGAGACGCTATTGCTGCGGAAATGAACATTGATCACGAGAAGGCTTCGCAGCAGATCTGGTAAGTCTAGTCGTCCATATCAGTGATCAGTAGTGAAAAGAAGAAGAGTTTTGCTAATGCTGCACAATGCAGGTTGATCGACAAGCCTGGCCTCCTAACGTCAAAAGTCGATGTCTCAGACGCTCAAAAGATGTACGTCAAAGATGCATCTAAATGGAGCGATAACACCACCCTCCTTTCAGTCGTCAAGCAAGTGAATCCCAACATTCTCATTGGAACATCTACCGTGCCCGGAGCATTTACGGAAGAGATCGTCAAGGCCATGCACGAAAACTGCCCACGCCCAATCATCTTCCCGCTCTCCAACCCAACGAGGCTTCATGAGGCAAAACCGGCCGATCTGCTTAAGTGGACCAATGGCCAGGCGCTTGTCGCGACAGGATCTCCCTTTGATCCCGTCACGGGCCCCTGGGGGAAGGACGGGGGCGATATCACGATTGAGATTGCCGAGTGCAACAACTCGGTGGTTTTCCCTGGCATTGGCCTTGGTTGCATTCTCAGTCGTGCAAAATTGCTCACCGACCGCATGCTCGTTGCGGCAGTTCAAGGCGTCGCGGCACTTAGCCCAACGCTCAAAGATCCGACAGCAACTCTCCTACCAGATGTGGAGGAAGTGAGATCCGTCAGCGTCCAAGTTGCAAAGAGCGTGATCAAGGCGGCCGTGGAAGAAGGTGTGGCGATGGAAAAGGGCATCCCGTCCGACGACGGCGATCTTGAAGAGTGGATTAAGGAGCAGATGTGGAATCCAGAATATCGCCCGCTGAGGCTCGTCAAGATGGAGGACGCGACGAGGGCGGCCAAGGGAGAGCTTGGAAAGGCCATGCCTGGACTGTAGCACAGGATGGTGAGGAGAAGGAAAACACGGGGTGTAGAACTTGGCAGCGAGTAGACATGGACGTCGATTGAATACTAGAAATTCGTTATAGACTGCCTATTGAATAGAGTAAACTTAAAAAGAATAAGATACTTGATCGCAGGAACGTGATGAGTTTCACCGGATACAACCGCATCGACCCACAACACAGATATAATAAAAATGTTTCACAGATATTGTCCAGAATTATCAAAAAGCCTACGGCGGTGTATCATTTACTCGGTATCATCATCGGATTCCTCCTCCTCTTCCTCGTCATCGTCCTCCTCTTCAGCACTCGCTCTGGCGTGGTTGACACCAACTTGCATGCGTCTAGCAACATACCACTGGGCCACAATGCCAGCAGAGAGCACAAGAGACTCCTTTATCCAAGCGGACACCCACTCCCTGGGGTCAAGCTCGCCCGTTTCGACGATGCTTCGGATATCCTCATGGACGCGGTTATGAAGAGATCCCGGAACGTCGTCTCCGGACTGAGGAGTCATAGGAAGGGGAGCCTCGAGCCAGCGAGCCCACTTGGCGGGGATAGGCTGGCTGGTGGTGCCGTATTCAATTTCGTGAACCGGGTCAATAATGAAAATGGCGAAGCGGAACTCTTCTTCATTTTCCTCCTCGGCATCCTCAGCCTCCTTCCCCTTTTCGGCCGCCGCAGTTCGACCGAAAAGAGCCTTGTCGTGGTCAGTGACAATGGCTTGGACAGACAAGAACAAGTCCGATGTCCGGATGGAACCAGGCTCGCTGATACCCGACCTCGCCTCTGTCTTGACGGCTTCGACGCCTCCCTTTGTGGCAAAGTACTCGGTCGCATAAGACTCTGCATTGACGCGGCAAAGCTTTGTGCCTTCAACAAGACCCTTGACCACGCCCAGCTCGCGAGCCTGGTCAACTTGTCTCCACCAAGGGCCATCGTCCCAGCCAGCGGCGTTGTCGTGAGGTCGCGGGGCGCCACTTTCGTGACCCCTCTGGACAACCTTGAGCTCACCGCCTTCCACCTGCTGCATGACGTCGGAGAAGACTTCGTAGATCAGAGGGTCAAGAGAGGGGTATCCGACCATGTCGTGGGTAATGTGAATGAGAAGGCGTTCGTGGGAGCCGATGGGAGGTGCGATGGTGTTGATGATGTTGGATAGAGTTGGTAGAGCCCGGTTGCGAATCTCGTCGCCTTGAAGCCAGAGTGTTAGCTAGATACATTGAAGCTTGCGTCGAGGATAACGGATGAAGCTCGAGACCTACCATAGCTCCTCAGTGTGTTGACATCAATGCCGCTTCGGAGGCCCTTGACCTGTTCTGCCCACTTCTGAGCTTCTTCGTTCTGCTGGATCTGGTTATAGGCAGCCTCGGCCTGCTTCATGACGCCGGTCGCAGTCGACAGGATGCCACCCCACCAGCCGCCTCCAGACTGCTGAGGCTGCGCCTGTTCGGCGGCCCTCCTCTCCGATTCATGGAGCTCGGAGCTGGTGGCGCTGGGAGTGAAGCTGGCTCGAAGGCTCCTGGAGCTGTCGGTGGACTTGCGCGCAGCGGCTGCCTTTTCGTCGCCGGCAGGAGGAGTAGCCGTTGAGCGTCGGGCGATGGTCTCCTTGAGACGAGGCGTGTGCGGGCGGGACGCAGGCGAGGGAGCAAGCTCGGATTCGAGGTCGGCGAGGATATCGTCGTTGCCAATGGCCTTGGCGGCAGCAGACGTCGGCTTCTTGGATGGCTTCTTGGCCTTGGATTCGTCGCCAATGCCCGAGAAGAGCTCGTCGAGATTGTCGTCGGCGGGCGCCGCCTTGGACTTTTTGGAGGCCATGGCGGGATATAAGAGCTGATGGCTGGCGATGAATCGGATGCTATGACGGGAGATGCTGCTGACGCTGGCGATGCAGGTGTTTGTAATTGATTGATTGTTTGGTACCTCAGCTGTGCTGTGTTTCTGGGTGGAATACGGAGTAGCGCGGTATGCAGTGGTGGGGTAGCGATTGCAGGTCGAAAAGGTATAAAAAGAAGCTTGGGGGGGTGGTCAGCAAATGGAGGTGCATTCCAGCAGCTTACAGGTACATACAGGTGCTCGTATTGTACGAAATACCGCTGAATATCAAGCAACAGAGTCTGCACAACTTGATGAGGCACAGAAGAGAAATGTTTACGATGATTCAAACAGCAGTGGGATGGTGTTGTTGAAAAGTGAGCGGAGAGTGAGAGACAAGTGACAAGGCAGCTGGTGATTAAAAGCGGCCATCTGGGCACATGTGAGAGGCAGCAGCAGATTCAGCGGGCCTGCAGTTGGTTTAGCGCAGGCTGGCCACCAAGACCAACAAGATTACAAACACCCACGCGTCGAATTATACGCCTGTTTCAAGTACCTACTATCAATCATATCTATATTTTTATAGTAACTGCTATTATAGCTACACTTCTCTAGTAACTGCTATTATATGTATATGTCCATTAGTACATGCTATTGTGGTTGCCTTGATATTCGGGTGCCAGCGGAATATTACCAAGGTATTCCCCTTCGAATGTACGAAGTACAAAAGCACCAATCGATGAACTGATTAGGTGCGGATATTGATGAATGTATGCACTTATTTATTTTGTGATCTCGCTTTTTCTGACCTCCACTTGTGGCCCCGTTGCAGCCAAAAGTATGAATCTTTGGCGGTGGGTACCTGGACGAGTACGGGCGGGCATCTGGATGGATGCGTTGTGTTGTCCGGTGTTGACATCTGCAGGTGGTCAAAGTACATGTGTCATTGTCACGCGGTGGGTGTTGTGACTGAGGGCGAGGTGCCGCTTTTGGTAGCGGTGATGTAGCGGTACTTGCAGCAACACGAGGCATTTGGTACCTTGATGAGAGTTGCAAGGTGGAAAACAGGTTGCCCGCCCTGCCTACAAATGTTGACAACGCATCTGCTACAGGTAGTATTGAAGCGTCATAGAGGTATCAATCTGATCTAGATAATAGTCTACGGAGAGGTAGTTATGTAATGCACACAGCCGCAGGATCAATCCTACCGATCCATTAATAGAAGGGTTAGCAGTAGGCAGTACCACCAAGGTGCTCAGCTTACGCTGCGTATCAGGACACAAGCCACAGCGGGCCTTGTTGCTCTTTGGTGATGAAGCAGCCCAGCGTTGCTACCTTACCTTGGGTGCCCATCTTGTATAAGTCGACGAAGCACTAAAACCCTCAAGCATGCCCTACGGCTACAGGCGAGAGCAGGGCCTGATGCTCGTTTGTGAGGCGCGCGCCAGGCCGGAACAAGCCTAGAAGAACATCCATCCCAAACAAAATACCTGTTTACCCGCGATGAGATGGATTCGATGGTTTCTGGCTGATGAAATAGAGAAACACTGGAGGTACCAAGTGAGGAGGCTCAAGATTAACACGTAACGTGTCGATTACCTTACTTCACTCTTATAACATTGGAAGCGTAATCTGGGTCTGGAAGGGGGGCAATTATGGAACAAGATGGAATAAGGTTGCCAGAGGAGGTATGACTCCGTAAAAGTACACGGCCCCAGCGGTGCGCGCTCAAGTGATGCCGTACTGGTACATGTGGGTACTTGGTGAGGCTGCACGCCGCGCTGAGGCCCCTTGGTACCGCGGCGGTAGAATCTATACCTAGGCAGTACGAGTACGTACCGGCGAGGGCGCCAGCCAGTCACAGCGCAGAGAACAGCCGGTGGCTTATTCGATCCACGAAGCCGAAAACCAAAGGAGAGCTGCACTGACAGCGTGGAAAAAGGCTGCCCTCAGAAATCTCTGATATCGACCTCAGTTCGGCATCATCGCAGCAGCTGGCGGCGGGCTTCTATTGCTTCTTGTCATTGTGCCGGACGGGCGTCCATTGCCGCAGCTGATTGTTGATTGCTATTGTTGTTTTGCTGGCGGCGACGAAAAACCTGCTCGCTTGTGCCGGCACGTCACGTTGATCCGCCTCTCATTTTATAACAAAGCAACTCATCGCCGTCAGTCCACGAGCCCTCATCCCACCTCCCCTTGACCTTTTTCATCTCTTTGCTGCTCGTCTTGCTGCCCGTCAGCCAATTCTGCCGCTCGTCTTGCCCGGCATCGCTGCCTTCGACTTTTCGCGGATGACCTCTTCCCTGCATTGCCTGTTCTCTTACACCCCTTTAACCTCACTTGTTTCCCTCACAGGCTGCAACGGCCTGGCATCATGGACCGCGCTCGCCGCGCAACAAACAACCGTCGCAAGCCCCCTGGAGCATCAGCCTCTCCTCCGTCTACTTCGGACGCTTCTTTTGAGCGCCATCAGTCGTCTGCCAGTCCCATCATGGCGCATGCCACTAACACTCCCCAAGGCGCACCGCAGGGCCGGCGCGCCAACAAATCTCTTCAGCCTGCCTTCACTTTCTCAACGCCAGGACCAACCCGGCCCTCCAATCTGAGGAAGAGGTCAAAAACCATGGATGACTACGCCGTGGCCGATGACGACTATGAAAATGAAAGCCCCAAAAAGGGCGGTCACAGTCTTCGCAAACGCGCGCGTGTCGACTACACCTTTGAGCAGGTTGACGACGACGCCGACTTTTCCAACCCCGTTTCTGCATCTACATCCGCCTCAGCCCGCAATAAGAAGCGAAGGCCGGACAGCAGCAGCTACGACTCCGAGGATCTCTACGGCTCAGGGCTCAAAAGGAGAGGCGCCTCTGTCGACGCTGACACGCCCTCCAGCCGCCGCCGCAATCCCTCCAGGAAGATGTCCGAGGCCAGAGCCTACAAGGACGACGTCGAAGACGACGAAAACGACGTCCAGGACACCATTGAGGTCGGCGTTCTCTATTCAGACTCTGAGAAGTCCGACAGCGCTCACATGGATCACTCAAATGCTTCATCCACGGACCTTTCCGTCGGCCCACAAAAATCTACACCCATCCATTCAGGCCAGGACAGCAGCTTCAGTCTTGCCGGCCTCGCCGAACCGCCGCTGGAAGCTGAGCAGCGCCTGAACCACGCAGAACCTGCTGCTAATGATACCATTGCTTCGGTTGCTTCCCCCGCCGAAATCACTGATATCAAGCCCGAAGGCGAGTCTCAGTCTCAATCTCGGTCTGAGGCTGGCCGTGCGCGGCTGCACTCGCCACACGACACCACGGCACCAGCCTCAAACGCTCCTGAGACTGCGCCTGAGCCACAACTCAAAATTCAACAAGCTCACGACGCCACTTCGGACGCAGCTACACAAGATGGCGCTCAACCGTCTCCACACAACAACAACAACAACAACAACAACAACAACAACGAGAATGCCGACAACAACAGCTCCGATCAATCTGCTGAGAAACATGAGCAAGACTCGCAGCCTCGTCAATCGCCGTCTCAGCCCTCGCCTCCACCGCCTGCATCACGCACTGCCGAGGTGACACCCGCTGAAGATTCGGTATCGGTTAAGCCGCCTCTCCAACTTCCCGAAAAGGAAATTCTTCAAGACAGCCCTGAGGAGACACGGGACAGCAATATGGATTCCCAGTCTGAGTCTAAACCACAACCTCCACCGCAGGAGCTGCCATATTATCCTTCGGCTGCCGCACACTTGTTTACGGTCTCTGCCCCATTGGTACAACAACAGCCTGAGCCCCAAGCCCAAGAAACACCTAAGCAGCAGTCCCCAGAGCCAGAGTCCAAGCCATCCAGTCCTCCTCCCCCTGTCGCAATTTCAGTTACAGTCGCCAGCACACCGGCGTCTCCGTCAACATCTGCCTTCGACTCCACAATCCTGGAAGATTCTCAGGTTACAAGTGTGGACGTGAAATCTGTCGAGCTGCCGGCGCCATTAGAAAACGATGCTGCTGCCACCCCAGCATTGCCAGAAATCCATGTTCAAGAGGTGCAAGTGAGGCCTGCAGCCCAGCCTTCAACAACCCAACAACCTTCCGAGCGAGGTCCGTTTAAGCCACAGCCCAGGCCGGTTGGTCGCTGGGCTCACCTAACTCCATACATCGATGGAGAGTACATCGCATATCCTGAGAGGAAGGCACAGCCGGAAGATGAGGTGGCCACCAGCGAAGAGCAAAATGCGGATGACCGCGAGACAAATGACATGGAACCAATGGTTGACGACAATGACGACGCAACTGGGATTGAGGCCCCTACCCCCGCTCTCAACACACCTTTGCGAGGTTCTCCTGCTCCTGATTCCATTGATCCAACTGCTTCCAATTCACCAGCTGCTGGTGCGGATGACGGCGACGATGTGGATGTTTCCGAAGAGCCCACTGAGCGAAGCCGATCATTCCGCTACCGCAAGCTAAGGAATCCCGATGAATACCTCTCCGCCATCGAAAACTTTGAGGACATGTCCACAGCCGAGCTATTCGAGGTTTTGGAATCCATCAACGTTTCCCTTTTTCAATGGCAAACCGAATGGACCAGCCTCGGCAAGGTTGTCGACGATTATGAGAATTCTCTTCGCAGACGCGTGGCGGACATCAAATATGAGTCTAGAACACGCAACTTCCATCAGCATGGCGTCAACTACGAGGAGCCCGAATTTGTCGTCAAGGGATACAGATCCAAGGACAGAGAAGGCATGACCGAGACTCGCTACCTCCAGAACCAAGATAGAATCATGGCAGCCGCTTATGGATTTGAGTATGACCCTCATCCATCCAAGATTGGCCGCCAGAATCCGGAGACACAGCAAGCAGGAATCATGACCCGCGGTCGCTCGCTGCGCAACCAGCCAAAACCCACAGCCAAGGCCACCGAGGCTGACGAAGTCACTGGCAAGAGACAACGCAAGCCCGTGCAATTATTTGACCCGGCAACCCAAGACATCAGTCGCAGCTCGACGCCTGCCCCCAGCGGCAGGCCTCGACGTCGCAAGACGGCCAATGGCGATAACGATGATGGTCAGTATGGTTTCGGCGCCAGCTTCAATAGCGAACCCATTCTCTCCGACGAAGAGGCTGGCGAGACGAAGAGAAGACGCAATCGTACAACACGACCCAAGATGGCTGTCCCCAGCATTGTTGAGGAGCTCGTCGCAACCCCCATAAGCGAAGAGCCCTCTGTCCGCGAAACACCAAGGTCAGGCCGTAAGGCGCGTGTTAAGCAGCCCATCAAATACGATGAAGAGTCTCTGGGCTACCAATTCGTCGAGGAGGAGCCCCAGGTGGAAGAGAAGCCTCCAAGGCGTCGTCATCTCTTGACTCTCAAGATCCCCAAGGGCAGGAACATTAGCGAACCGTCCTCGGAGATTACAGATAATGGCGATTCGCGACCCTCGACTGCCGACTCGGACTCGACCTCACACACGGCGGAGTCGTCGTATTCGTTCCGTCCCAAGCGTCAGAAGCGATTCCGTGATGACGTTGAAGAGAGCGAGGAGGCCACCCAGGCTCCTATGAAGAAGAGGAACAAGCGTACCAGCGGCGTCGCCCCGCTTGGAGTCGAAGAGGACTTTGCTCCTACGGAGATGCTCGACCCAGACACGCTCGCAGGCGTCAACAATCGCAAGATTCAGAAGATCAAGGTGGTTCGAAATACACCCGCGAGCGCGAGCCGCAAGGGAACGCCGTCGTCGCTTCCCAATGGCGAGGAAGCAGAGGAGCCGCCAAAGGATTACAAGTCTATGACCAAATCCGAGAAGATGTCGGCATCCATGAAGAGTAAGTATTTAACTTCATCAAAGAGGACGAGACCTCTTTTCCTTTTTCTTGTTCTTGTTCAACTCTCTAACAATGTATTCCAGGTCGCTGGGCAAACGGCAACATGGCTGGCGCTGTCGAGAAGCGAAAGGCAACCCTCGCTGCTAAAAAGGCTGCGCAGGCAGCGGCCGAGCAGAGGGTTGGGCTTATCGCTCCGAAGCCCAAGGTGAAGTCGGCCAAGAAGGAACCGGTTGAGCAGACTCCAATGCCTCCGCCGTTTAATCCTCAGCAGCCGCAACAACATATGCACGGAATGGGATACCCATACCCCCCATCTTAAAAATTCCATCTAATCTGGCAGAGAGCCAAACATGTGGTTGCCTTATGAATCGACGAGGCCCGATCAAATATACAGCAGCTCGACTGCACCATCTTATTATCGCCTTTCCGATAGCAGAAGGGCTTTTTATTTCCCGCGATGCCGATTCATGTATCATACTTGGACGACAGGAGTGTTTTGTGTATTGCCGATGAAGAATATTGGCAAAGACGACTTGCACGAATGAAACGGGCTCTCAATACTCTAATCACAAAAAAAGGGGGGCTGGACACAGTTTGATCATTTCAGAGAAAAGAGGGCCACATATACGGCGGTGGGATGTTTTCAAATACGATTACGATGCACTTGGACATCGGTCTCTTTTTCTTCTTGTTGTTTTCTCTTTTTCCTGGATTGGCATTCGGACCAGCTTATCACGGGCATTGAACCCAGTTGGTCCGTCCGGCGTTGGTGGCCTCCCTCATAGTGGCGGCTAGGCTATACAGGGGGGGAATGTTTTGATGCTTTTTTTTTTTTTTTTTTTTTTTGCCTTTTTTCGATTTGCATGCAACCTACTTTTTCTTCCTTCGATTGCGCCTTTTTCATTTTCTGTGTGTTCTTAGTCTTTTTTCCCTTCATCTTTGTTTTGTACAAACACATTCAAATGTATGCGAATGGGGGGGGAAGGGGGGCATATTGTGTGAGGGGGGGATAGGGCGGAAGGCCTTTTTTCGGGTTTTGCCTGTATCTATTTTTTTGAGCATCCGATGGTTGTGGCTGCTTTTTTTTGCTCGTACGTAATAAACGCTTTTCTTTCGTGCTGTTGAATAAATAAAAGTTGTTGGTTTGATATAACTTGGATGAGTGCTGTGTGAAATAGTCCATTTTGGCTGTGCTTGGTTAGAGTGAGTTGATTGGGGCGAAGGAGTGGGACTGATGTGTTGAAGAGAAATGCATGTTAAAAACATATCACCAGCAACACACACCATGAGAGACTGATGGTGCATAGTCAAATTTGAGGAAATGGGCTTGAAGAGGGTATTTGCCAATCTGCAGTTTGATTTTGGCTGGGCTTGGTTCAAGTCAGTTGACTGGGGTGAAGTACGGAGTAGTGGATCTGTTGTGTTGAAGAAAAGTGCGTAAGAAAATATACAACTTACAACTTGCATCATGAAAGGCTAATGAGGTAAAAGAAGAATCGAGAAACTAGACCCGAAGGAGTTGTTTTCCAATTTGCAGCTCGATTGACCAGTGCTTGTATTGTAAGTACAACCGGTAAAGGCGACTTGTATTCTGGATTTTCGTGCAGGGTAACCATTGAGATTTGGTGAGAGGCGCAATAAAATTCAAAGGGGACAGATTCGTCGTAGACGAAAAATAGCAATACATATTGACCGTCAAAACTTCATCTCCCACTTAGGATAATCATGAATCGGTATCTTACACTCCCTTAGAGGTACAGCAATGGCATCATCGTGGCATGCAGCATTCACTCAGCATTATTAAAGAGAAGACTCGGACTTGGATATTTTTTTTTGTCTTTGTCCGTTTGATGCGATACCTGATATTGAATCATCCTTACACGCCGCAACCGAAATGCAAGAGCCTGCCAATCCAGCGACTTTACTTTCCCGTTTCTTTTTTTCCCCCTCCCATGCCCCAAAGAACAAAAAAATCAGAAAAAAAGGGACAGGAGGCGGGAAGAAAAAGATTTTCCACGCTTCTATAAGATCGCATCGAGGGACTTGGTCATTTGTCTTTTTTTTTTCATTCCTCTCTTCTCTTTGGTAGTAAATAAAAAAAAGCCCTTCCTTCGTTTGACAACCTCTTTACATGACGACACCGGAGTTGCTGGCAATACGCTAGAATGGAAATGTCAGCAAGTGGAAATCCTTCAACGGTTGCTTGAAGCGGGAGGGAAAACTTACGGGCCACAGCTCAGCAGCCTCCTTGCCGACGGGGCCAGTGATGGCAGAGCCCTTCATCTCACCCTTGGGGTTGACGATCTGTAGTAGGCATCATGTTAGCTTGATGTCGTAGCCACGGGGGGTTGTTCTGGTCTCGAATGGCGCGGCCTATGCCTCGGAATCGGGGGGGAACGCAATCATTCTTCGACCAGAGGGAGATCAGAACGTACAACACCAGCGTTGTCCTCGAAGTACAGGAAAACACCGTCGAATCGCTTCCAGGGCTTGGACTGTCGGACAATGACGGCGGGGTGGACCTTCTTTCGCAGCTCAGGCTTTCCCTTCTTGACGGTGGCCATGACCATGTCACCGACACCGCCGGCGGGCAGGCGGTTCAGACGAGCTCCGATACCCTTGACGGAGATGATGTACAGGTTACGGGCACCAGAGTTGTCGGCGCAGTTCATGACGGCACCGACGGGGAGACCGAGGGTCATCTTGAGCTTGCCACCAGGGGCACCACGACTGCACGCACACGCTTGGTCAGTCCACAAGTTCTCTTGATACGTTTGCTGTGTTGAATCCTCCTCTGTCGTCGTCTGCAATTCCTCGACGGAGAATCATGAAACCTGGTGCCGGCGAGCATAGTCCCAAATTCCCTTCCTTGCTAGAAAAAAAAATCTCGAGCTGGTCTGCGGGTTGCGTTTCGAATCTTCTGATGTAAAATTCGACTTCATGAAGGAATTCGAGCAGATCGGTTTGTCGGTGTTGCAGAGCCCCAAATTGTCGTTTTCCAATGTGTGTCCCTCGGTGGGAAGATGCTAACCATCGTCCTCCTCTTGCCCGGCTTTTTCTTCCAGTGTTTCATTCATCCCGTCGAGAAAAACGAAGAGAGGACAGAGACGAAAAAACTTGGTGCTAGAAAATTAGAGCGACTTACGATTGCTTGGCCATTGTGTCTGAAGGGTTGGGGGCGTTAGAGTCGTGAGAAACGTGCCGAAGTCGCGGATTGCCGTCGTGAAGCTGAAGCTTTTCAGGGCAAATTTTCCTTATGCGATCTGTGGGGGTGAGAAACCCTACGAGAAGCGAGTGTGTGTGGTGCACGTGAAGATAGCGCTTATCGGACTGGCGGCGAAAATGGTGGCCAGTGATTGGAGCTTGGGGCGGATCTTGGGGCTAAAGAACACGGCCCCGCTTATTTTTGTGCGGGCTTCTCTGGAATTTCGAATTTGGGCATCACGGGCATTTTGTCGGTATTCACATGTAACGATGGGTATGTCGATTGACGGAAACACTGACGAATGCTTGGAATTTTTTCATGGTATCTGGTCAATCTCGCCTTGAAATGCCAACTGCAGAAATTGGAGCCACGAGCCTTGAAAGAGGAATTCAATATACATGAGTGGCTATGGCTAGGTACTAAGAAGGTACATACACTAACACCATGTGAGTGAGTAGCACGGACGTCCGGGACCAAAGGCCGTAAAAATCAGGGGAGCAACGTGGACATTCTTTCTTCATCGCAACTCGCATAAAGGCAAAACTAAAAATGAAGAGAAGAGATTCAGCCAAACCAAACCAGCCCAACACCACGTCAAATCATCATTTCCAACTTGTCCTACTCAGCCGTGGCCACATTGTTTGCATCCTCAGGGTTGATCATCTCCCACGACTGGGCCGTCCCAGTCTCCGAGACTGGCGAACTGTCTGCTGCAGCGGCTGTGGTTGGCGGCTTGGCCACATCAGTCTTGATCTTATCCATGTTGCTGCCGTTGCTGCCGTCTTCCTGGCATATCTTGACAAGTCTGTATGAGAGGTCGATCTCTCCGTCTTTGACGTATGATGTCACCGCATAGCTGCTGACACATCAACATGAGGTCCTCTTCGAACTGCGACCACCTACTTACGGCAACTCTCCTGCTTGCTCATCAGCCATGTTGAATAAGGCCTTTGCTGGGCTAGGTGTTGAATTGAACGAGTACTTTGCAGGTGAAAACACCGAGAAGCTTGAATTGTTGAAGACCACAAAGCCGCGACATTCACGTCGGGGCAGCCGCATCTTCTTAAACCCCCTCTGTTCCCCTTACATCCATCAGCTCATGGCCGTCCGTCGGCTAGAAGATATGCGGTCTGGCATCCCCATTGCTGTCCCAACCATCATTCTTCATCAGGCTCGGGCCATAAAAACCTAGTGTCTGAGAGAATCGCCAATGATACCGCAACACATCTCCGTCTGCGGCTCTGCGAGGACACCACAAACAGGCTCAGTGACCTCCCGGCTTCACAGGGGCACGTGGTCGTGTCTCAATCCAACTGAGAAGAGGTACAACCTTTGTAATCTGTACAGTAAATTGATTATCTGCATGGCCAATGGGTGAGACGTCTTGGCCTGCGAGTCTGCTGTCGATACTCTGCTTCTGCATGGTGGTGTGCAACAAAATGAGGTCATCTCGACCAGTACGGACATTCGTCCAGCACGGCTCACTCACGACCCCCAGTCTCTCTATTGGTTCACAAGGTTTATCACTGTCGGCGCTTCCAGCCACGGCTACACACTCGAACTGACGGTCAGACGTATGCAACCCATACTCTGCATATGGGTGCGCGGTAAGCGCCCAATACCCACTGCGTTGCGTTGCAGCAACTGCACATATGCCTGACCTCGCCTATATCCGTCGAGCGTCGATGCAATCCGGACTTGAATCGCTCTTGTACCTGAATAAATCTGGAAATATGATGGAAGAGAAATTGGCGGCAACAGTGGAAACAAGTTCCCGCCTAGCGACTACTGTAGTTTGTCTGCGTTTGCAATGTTTCCTCCCATGTGGGAGCTGGTGGGACGCAGCCCAACGTCAACCGGCCAAGTGGCCACTGGTTGGACCCCAATTGGGGGGCCATTGCTGGATGCAACGAGGCCAATCCATTTGATCCATTCCCCCGGGCAAGAGGCGGTGATGCTCGCAATACACGCTGGAACCGGTCAAACAGCTCGCTGCAAGCCTGAGGCTCTGGCTCCATCCACGTATATGTTGATGCTGCTTGATTCGCCATCCCCCACACCACGTGCGGGGGTGAGTGCTGGGCGTCGTAGGTGGGGCGTCTTGTTATAGAGTTATTGCAGACACCGGACCCGGTGCGCTGGGCTCAGAACCGAGCCGAAGTGCTGGCATTTCTGTGCTGCTGCAGGGAGAAAAGTTGTCGCATCAATTGATTTGCGCAACGAGCATTTCTGTACGACGTTGGGCACTCACTCACTATCTTGGTCGGATGAAGACATGAGCCGAACTAACATTGAAGTGGAGCGGGCGCCGCCAACAGCCTACGAGTTACCGCAAAAAGGTGCAAGGGCTTCTGCTGAGATCATGAGCGTCAGTGGTACCAACGAGTATCGAAACGTTGCAGCCACACGGGAATATACTACGGATATACCTGAAGCTCCATATTATTTTATTCGAAATCGACCCGTATCTGCCGGCTATCTGGGTACCTGGCAGAGCGAAGAGAAGGCCGGGATAGTTTCGATTCACAGCAATATTAGCAGTCGACGTCAGGGTTGCGTTGTCATGCTGCACAGTCAGCGTGTGCGACCAAAAAGAGATCATCTCAAGTCCGAAGGATCGAGTTTTCTATCTCTTGGCAGCAGCGCCAGCCGTTTTGGCTGCCATGAGGATGCTACGACGGATACTATTCCAAGGACCTGCTTCAGCGCAATACTACCGTGAATACTCGGCGCCGAGGTGGGCGATTACAAATTGGCAAAAACAAAAAGACGCCTGTCAACAGCTATTTTAAAACAGTTCCTTCGTGTGTCCACAGTTCTAGAACGGATCCTGGTGGGGGCTGATTTGCGGAACTGCTCCCTGAAAAAACGTTGCATAGACAGGTATAGGTACTACCGGCATCCCCTCCCAAAGGTGCAGGATTTCCACCGATGCGCGTTCTCTTGTCTTTTAACCATGTCTGCCTTTGGCATCCATTCAGAATCAATGGCCAGGAAGAGTCGCCAAGCCAGACGAGAATAGTACCTAGTCCGATGAAATGGATCTCGGTGCCCGGGAACAGAGCAGCAAGACACCTGCCTACCCTGGTAATTGTTAGTCCCTATTTCCAGGCTTACATGCTCGTGCTTTGTCACACGGCCGCCGCTGACAGGCACATGCCAAAGTACCTGTACCTGTACATGTGCCCAGGCTGTGGCGGTGCAGGCTACTTGGTGCCGTTCACAGGCGTTTCTCCGGCGGAACACCAGGCGCACAGTGGCTTCGATACGCCTGTGTGCCATATGCATGCCAATGTCCATGGAGTCGAGGTCAAAGGCTCACGGATACGGCTCAGACGCCGACTGTCTCTGGGCATGGCAAATAACGATCAAGTAGCCGCCCGATTTGGGCAATGCCACAGTCCCCAGGCCGGTCACAGCGGCTCCACCACCTGCAGCTCAATGTACATATGCCCACTGTGGCTTGAAGGTTTTCCCTTTGGCTCGACTCCCTCCCCACTTGAGCCCAGAGCTTGTTCCCGTCTGCAAATCGCCATCTTTTCCTTTTATCAACCAACGATTCACGTCCCGGGCTGTTTGTACTTGTATTGCCAGGCGCTTGAATCCGTCGCACCGCCGGAGCTGCCACAGCATTGATGCGATTCAGGCCCCCCCTCAAGGGCCTTCCGCGGACGAGCAGACCGCTGGCTGTCTTGTATCTCACTCGAGCCCTGCGTCATTAGTTGACAGTCCGAGTTTTGAAGTTGCCTTTGCCGTTTTGTGAGGTCATCGATTTCTCGGCACGCCTTTCCAGCGACACGGCACATTGTACGAGCACGACCAACACAGGGGGGAAAAAGGCGGGAGAGAGAGACGCAATGGCGGCGAATTTCGACTTCAGCGCCTCCGCCTCTGCGACGTCGCCGCAGCAGAACATGGCCGAGCAGAGCGCATCGTCGCCGCACCATCCGAACAACGTCACCATCTATCAGACCACCGGGCCTGACGCCCACTATGGCCCCGTCATGGCCCCGGGTGACTCGGGAACACCGCTACTGAATCCGCGATCTTGCGTCACCTGCCGGAGGCGCAAGGTGCGTTGCGACAAGCAGATGCCGTGCTCCAACTGCCGCCGCGCCCTCATCCCATGCGTCTTTCCCGCTCCTGGCCGTGCGCCGCGCCAGCACCGGCCCAAGGACCCAAACGCCCCTCCCAAGGCGACGAGTCAGCGCGAGGTTGAGCTGGTCAAGCGGCTCAAGAAGCTCGAGGGCATCGTCGAGGAGCTGAGCGGCCAGATCGAAATCGAGACGGGCGCCAGAGTGTCGTCCACCGGCGACTCGCCCTCCAACGAAGGATCCCCCGTAGCTCAGCGGCCAAAGTCTGTCAGCTTGGGCGCGCTCACGTCGGGGCTTGCGGGCGATGGCGATAGCAGCCACTCTGCCGGAGATGGCGGTGAATCACGGCTGATGAGAGAGAGCCGGAAGCAGCTGGGTCGACTGGTCTTGAATGATAACAAGGGCACTTCTCGTTATGTTAGTAGTGGATTCTGGTCGAGGTTGAACGACGAGGTACCGTCTCCCCTCTTCCCTTTTTTCATAATCTACAGCCCTTTGTTGCACGGGTGGTGCCAAGACAAGTGCATTTGCTAACGAGATGTACAATATGTACAGCTGGATGCCATTCGCGAGGAAACACAAAAGCTGACCGACGAAGACGCCGACGATTCCGAGTTTGAAGAGTCGCCGCCCATCGATTCACCCACCACTGCTGCGAGCTCCGTTTATGATCACCATGCATTCATCCTGGGATATAGGTCCATCGATGTCAATCTACAAAAATGCCATCCTCTACCCTCCCACGGCACGTTTCTCTGGTCCGTCTATCTGGAAAACGTAGATCCGTTACTCAAAATACTCCATGTCCCAACCATGGAGGCTATACTGCGGGAGGCCCGGAGGAGCCCGGAAAAGCTCACCCCTGGCAATGAAACGTTAGTCTTTGCGGTATATTTTGCCGCCGTTGTAACACTCGAGGAGGCTGATGTAAGTCATTCCAACCCTTCTGATGATCCTCCATTGGAAGCGTAAACCGTTTTACCTCTAACATGGCTCTAGGTTCAAACCAATTTTGGTACAGGCAAAGAAGAGTTGCTTGCACAGTTTCGCTTTGCTGTGGAGCAGTCGCTTGCCAAGGCCAACTTCTTAAACACATCCGATTTTGCAGTCGTCCAGGCGCTCACGCTATTCCTTCTTGTGGTCAGGCGGCACGACGAAACGCGCTTTGCCTGGTCCCTCACTGGCCTGTTGATTCGGATCGCACAAGGTCTGGGTATTCACCGTGATGGAACTAACTTTGGGCTCTCTCCATATGACACAGAACAGAGACGGCGTCTTTGGTGGGCCATTCTCACTTTGGACTTTCGTTCATCGGAAGAAATGGGCACCGACTTGATTGTTGCAGAGGGAGACTTTGACACTCAGTTCCCTTCCGCCATCAACGATTCCGACATCACGCCCACGGGCACCCAAACTCCAGTAGCAAGGGAGGGAAAGTCGGACACTACCATTTCTCTAGTGAGGTTCGAGGTTTGCGCCATGTCGAGACGCTTACACGAGGCATCAAATGGTAAGAACTCGTGTACAAAGGTCGGAATCAATACAGTTTCGGAAAAGGAGCAGCTCCTCGTTGAATTCTACAAGAGGATTGAAGAAAAATTCCTTCAGCACCTGGAGGAAGACGTCGATCCTCTGTATTGGGTAGCGGCTATGATATCCCGCATCATCATGGCCAAGATGTGCCTCATCACCTACCAGTCGATGCTTTTCCCAGGTACGGATAGCGAGCTTACGACCGACATCCGCGAGCGGATTTACATTGCTTCCATCGAAATCATCGAATATAATCACAAATTAAACATGGATCCCAGAGGCAAGCAATACCGATGGCTGTTTAGAACATATACCAACTGGCACGCGATTGCTTACGTACTGGTCGAGACGTGCCGTCGTCCTTGGACGGCGCTCGTGGAGCGCGGCTGGGAGGCTGTCAATAGATACGACAAAGACCTATCGGAAAACATCAAGAGGGCAGATCACGCTTCCGTGTTCCTTCCCCTACGCAAACTATGCATCAGAGCGAAGAGATACCAAGAGTTGGAGGTGGTGCGTCTAAGGGCCAACCCCGAAGAGGCCAAGCGATTGGATCTCGCAGAGAGGATAAAGGCATCTCAGCGGCGATTTGATCCCATCCCTGGTGCCGAAGCCAGGATGCAGCAGGTCAGAGATAGATGGAGAGCCATGGTCCATCTGGAATCGCCCATACCAGTGTCTCTCCCCAGCTCTTCACAACAGGCGCCAACCACCTTTGCCATATCTAAAGAGACCCATTCCTCGTCACAGCAAGCATTGGCCGGACCACAGTTCCAGCACTCACAGGTGCAGCCACAGGCCGATGCTGAACCCCAAATGTCCATGGACCTCTCCAACGTCACCATGGAGTATATGAATGATGTCATGGCACAGAATAGTGTCACCATGGCCGAACTTTGGAACGTAGGCTCGGTTGGCATGGATAATGGGAACGGCCCGGCGATGGGCATGGACGAGAGGCAGCAGCAGGCACTGCTACTGCAGAACCAAAACCAGCAGCCCAAAGAGCAAAGTCACGTTCCGCCATATCTCTGGCCCGAGTCCTTTGCGCCGTCGAATCAGAAGTTCGACCTGGAAGATGCGGACATGCTGGGGGCCGATTTCAATTGGCAGGATTGGAGCCAGAGCATTCGCGGCCTGGGAATGGGTGGCGCACAGCCAAAGCAGCCCTGGTGAAAGCAAGACACCTGACTTGGGTAAATACTTTTTGACGCCGCTACACTGTATGTATACCGAACCGTTGAATTGGAGGGAGAAGCACTCAACTACTATATACACGTTATGTGGGGGGGGGGGGGGGGGGGTAAGCCGGGGAATGCTTTACGATACCCTTGGGCGAATGAGGCGTTTCGTCATGGGATTTAGACATGTGCGAATGAGTATATTTGATGATTTATATGTGTCTTATATATCCCTACGTATTTATATATATGTTACTTTCGCAATTGATTATTGGCAAGTGTTTATACTCGAGGTAATGGGCATTGCAATTTCGCCAGGCTCTTGTTACCTGTGATAATTTCCCGCTCCCTTGTACACCTTGTGTAAAGTACTTCTTCACCATTGGTCTCACACCACGCAAATATATATTCATACCCATTATTTACAAATCCCCATTGTATAAATTACTGTCTCTTGTCGAATACTTTAAAATTTCTAGTACTAGATACTACTACTATTGCCACTCTGACTATAACGCCCTTCAACTCGCCTTCTCATCTAGGGTAAGTGAGTGCGGCGGGCTGTCATGTGACGCTACCTTGACGGGAAGCTTTAGGGATGGAGCAACAACAAGACCTTGCCATGATCCGACTTTAGCGGACCAGACTAAAAAAGCTTATCGGAGAGTAAATACCGAGCGGCTAACGACAAGTGAGATTGCCAGCCAACACCTCAACTGCCTCTCGCCCATCGTCTGCGCGCGCCTAAACTCCCGCCCTCGAAGCAATGGATCCCGGAAGGCGAGCCATGATCGCCGACTCGAGAGGCTCATCGTCTGGTCGTCGAGAACCCATGGCGCCGCGGTCCGACTCAGGCAGCCGCGTGTCCAAACCCAGCCGACCAGGTCCGTCGACGACCGCCCGCAATGCCGCCAAGTACCTGAGCCAGGACGAGCAGTCACGGCAGTTTGTGGCCGACGAGGACAAGTTCGTGCTGAAGCAGGCCAAGAAGAAGGCCGACATCCGGGTGCGCGAGGGCCGGGCGAAGCCGATCGACGTCCTGGCCTTCAACCTGCGCTACATCGACGCGGACCGCGACGCCTTCGACGACGACGAAATCGACGACGACATCGAGGTGGATGCGCCCGCAAAGGTCATACAGGATCTGTCTTCTGCCGCGCAAATCTCCGAGCTCGATTCCAACATCGTGTCATACCATGTGCTGGAGACGGACTCGCGAAACCGCCGGTACTGGGAGGCCCTGCGGACGCTGTGCGCGGATCGGAGGGCCAAATTGGACCCGCAGGGGCACGAGGGAAGAGTGGTCAACAGCGTTGCGGACGACATTGACAAGATTCTGGCGCCCAAGACGTTTGATCAGCTCGAGACCCTGGAGCAGCAGATCAAGGCCAAGCTGCGGTCCAATGAGGACATCGATACGGACTACTGGGAGCAATTGCTCCGCAGCCTCAGGGTATGGAAGGCCAAAGCCACGCTGGCTCGCATAGCGGATGACATTGAAGCGAAGAAGAGGGAGCGGCTTGCAGGCCAGGCGCCGCGCTCGACAGAGACATCCAAGAGCAGCGGCGGCATGTCCGCAGGCGGCATGGGCATGAGCAGCCATATTTCAGGTGGCGCCAAGGCCCCAACGAGCAAAGCGGATGCATTTGAAACCAGGAACGAGGATGATTCTCAAGCTACGATGGCGCTATACGACAGAGAAGCGGCACGTGGAGTATCTGAAAACGAAGAGGTTTTTGCGGCTGAAGAAGCCCTGCCGGACGGCTCGAAACCCCCGCAGTGGACGGACAAGTATCAGGCTCGCAAGCCCAGGTACTTCAACCGCGTGCAGATGGGCTACGAATGGAACAAGTACAACCAGACGCACTACGACCACGACAACCCCCCTCCCAAGGTGGTGCAGGGATACAAGTTCAACATCTTCTACCCAGACTTGGTGGACAAGACCAAGGCTCCGACGTTCAAAATCATCCGCGAGCACGGCCGGCGACGCGGAGAGTCGTTTGCTGCCGCGGGCGAAGTAGACACTTGTCTGATCCGCTTCATCGCGGGACCTCCGTACGAAGACATTGCGTTCCGCATTGTCGACCGTGAATGGGACTACAGCGCCAAGAAGGAGCGTGGCTTCAGAAGCTCATTCGACAAGGTACGAGGCCGCCATTTCCCCATTACCCGGTTTGCTTCTCTGTCTTGGTCATGGCCCAGCCTGGTCTGGCTTGATTGAGAATGCAATCCTACAGCGCCACCAAAAGTGTGCCCACCGGTTCTGAGACAGCCGCCACAAGCGCGGTTCCTTAGCTGGGCCTGTCCCCTCGTCGTTCTCTTCCCTTGCATTAGCCATCCTTGACCTTGTCCGCCGAGCTAACGCTGTGACCTTGCAGGGAATCTTACAATTGCACTTTCAGTTCAAAAAGGTAAGGAGGACAGAAGAACCTGCTGGGGGGATGAATGAGAGAAGAAGCCAAACGAGTAGAAGAAACAGTCACTAACTGAGGGTTTGCAGATCTTTTACAGAAAATAACCAAGGGCTGGTCGGCGTACTCTCCATGCTTTTGCATACAGACTTTGGTTCATGGAGTAAGAGAGATCCTGTGATTTCGGCAAAGCGGCTTCCTGGCGTTCCCTGCCAAGGCTATGAAAATTTTAAGAAAGAAGAAAGGAAAAAGAGAAAAGCGGCAAAAAGAAGCGAAGAGAGTGACCGAATTGATGATACAGGTACACCGTAATAATAGTACCAGCTCTTCGATCCACTTAACGGGAGAAAACAAAGCTAGAAGAAGCGTTCAGAGAGCTAGAGCGGCAGGATAACTATTTCAGCTAATAAACAAAAGCAAGGAAAGACAGCCAATTTGCGGCCATCGACGGCTTTGGCAGATTCTTTGCGCGTGGTATTCACAAAAAACTGTGCACAATCCGCCGCCATCTCAGTCTTCAAGGCGCCGATGCTAAATCATCTCCTGGTCGCTGAATCAGGAACATTGGCACACGTTTTGTTCTCCGTCGCACATCTACGGGAGAAGATGGTCGTGTCCCACTCCCGGGGCTAGAAAGCTTCGCGAAGGTTGGTCAGGCCATCCTTCTCTGGAGACTTTGGTGATCCTCTGCAGGGGAAACGCTCGATATCTATCGGACGATCTGATCAGGATCTTTGTGCTTGACGCTTGACTCTTCTTGCCGGTGTTCTAGAAGCGCCGGCTGACACTTTGGACCAGAGATGAGATCCGCGGGGAGGGTCTGGAGAGAGGACCGAAGAAGGCTACTGGATAGAATGAAGTGGCTTGACGCAAGGCGTTCTCCAGCCCGTGGCTGCATGACTATTGGCATGAATCAATGCGAAACGAAGGGCAATCAAACTTTGGTAACTCAGCTGGCATCGCCTAATGCATCTTGTTTCCGGAATCGTCTCCTGACATACGCGGAAGCACCCATTCTCTCCCCTAAGGCCTTTAGCCGATGCCGCGGACCTACATTGATGTGTACATTACATGGAAGGATTCCTTTGGAAGCTTCGCTCTGGTCCCCCCCTGTCAGCATGGGCCACAAATAGACGGTTCAGCGGGATTCCATTACTACATCTCTCCTTACCGGTGTGTTGAATGCAGCGAGCCGTCGGCCCAAGCCTTGGATCCCGCGTTGCTGCCAATGAGACTGGAGACTGGCTACGTACATTTGCCGATGGCAAAGAACCGGTTCGTAAATAGACCAATAACGACCAGCGATATCCGTGGTCCGTGTAGAAGAGGTGGACACTTCTGACTTGTGGTCTCTTGAGGCTTGGGATGATGGGATGGGATGGCAGAGAAGCGATGGCAGCGGCGAGGACGGTGGCAGAGATGGCGGCATTGGCCAGGATTCTCTATCCACTGCTGTCGAAATCTGTGGCTACCACATGGCTCTCCTTCTCCTTCTCCTACTCTCTCCTGACCCTGGCTCTGTCACACAAAACTGTCGCCTAAGGTTATGCCGGCCGGCCATCTCATACACATCGACACCCACCCGGCACTGTTTCAACGAGCCCTGCCCGCGTTACTCACAGTGTAACTGGTGGCTACTTCTAAAGAGACAGGAGAAAGGATGCAGGATGGCCCGATTGAGAACCTGCCAGACTTTGCTTTGTGTGTGTGCTGGTTCATGGGGGTTACACGGCGAACCCTGAGCTGCCTGCTTGTTGACAAGGTCTCGACAGAACGGCCAAGAGGCTGCTCCATCTGCCTGGTCTTGGGGCGAGGAGATACGCTTGACCAGTCCACAAGGGAACGTGTGTACATGGCCATACATGTCACCCATGGAACTCTCGCACACGCCTTTGCTCTCTCCATCTCTCTCGTCCACTCCCTCTCCCGCGCTCCTCTCCTCCTGCACATGCACGAGCGCACATACACACGCACTATCAGAGAGTGGCGCACAAAGAAGATGGCTCGTGTACTCAAGCGTACCCGGTCCACCTATTGGGAGGGGGCAAGGTATGAGCAGGCACCTCACTAGTGTCCACGGTGTGCCGATGCAACAACTTTGCTCACACGCCCCGGAGGGGCCGATCTCTGGGATGATTGATTCTGTTCCGGGAGCTTCGACACCCTGGTAGTGGTGGTGGTGGACAGAGAGCGGCGAGCAGGCTCTCCTACCCCATGGCACGGGCAGCCTACTATCTATCAGAGTCCTCTCCACGAGTTTTTGATAAATAGCTTCACTCTCCCCACAAGATCTGTGCTGTCAGAACTAACTCGACGAGAAGCAAGAGCTGGATACTTCTACTGTGCTCCAAAGAACCTCACAAACTTTGTCTTCCCTCTCTCTCACTCTTTTTTTTTCGTCTTCTCATCACTGTCATCCCGTCGGCTGTCTTTGTTTCCCCCCCCTCATAACTCCCATAGCTCGGGTGTTCCATACTGCCATTCTTGTGACACTCGGCCGCCTCCACTTACATATCTCCTTGGGTCATCACTTCTTCCCATTTTCCCCGTCCCCTGACGGCGTTGTTACGACATCCAGACC